CAAAGGAAGATGTAGACTGATGGTGACTAAAGCAGAAAGATGAATTGGCAATCTAACATGAGAGATGGATCAAATTCTGCCCTTGAGTCTACATTCTGTCTCCAAGATGATCCTTGAGTAAACCTAGTTGTTGGCCAGGGCACCGTAAGACAACTACTGCTTACACTCTCCATAGAATATCTCCATTTTAATGTGCTTGAGGTTTTCAGCCCTCATTTCCATTTATTTAAAAAAAAAATCAACAAAAAGTTCTAGAATTATAATGTAAGGTAGAAATTACCAAACATATATTTCTTCTGTGAAATAAATATGTTTATACACAGTCATTTGTAATTTAAGAATGTTTCCTGTGCAGAGATGTCTCACTGTTGTTTATGAAGTATACGTTTAAACTTCCATTAAGATATTAATGGTAGGCCTGAAGGCAAAACAGTCCCACCATGTAGGAATATAAGAAATATAAGAAAAACTAAATTGCTAACTTCTAAATTACTACCAATGGACATATTACTAAAATCCTTAGTTAGATTGCACAGGATATTTTAGATTAATGCAATTTGCTATACACGAGGCTGTCCGTATTCAGAAGCTTCAGCCAACACCAAATGCCACAGCCTAATGCTGATGGGGAAGAACCAATTTATCAGAGTAGCACCATTTCTACTGGAGCTGCCTGTAGCCTTCCAGATTTTATCCAAGGTGCTGTTATGGCCTATTTCACTGCTTGGACCTTTGTTAACTTCAGGACTACCTGTTCTAGCTAAACTCTTCCCATTTACTGTATTCCATGGGAGAAGCCAGGATGCAGATCATCCCCTTTCAGAATATAACATGGACATGAAAGCAGGCCTCCTTGACTGTAGTCCCATCACTCTGGAATAGCCTGTCCCTAAGTTCAGATTGGTTCCTTCCAATTTTCACTATGGGAATGTGTTACAGCTGTTCCATTGCAAAGAATTTTGATGCAGGGCATGTCACATAATCCAAAGGAGCTGATTGTCCAGAGTTGAAATGATATTTATTATACGTTTTTAATTTGCACCTTGCAGGGTCCTTGGTGCTCTGCCCGCTTGGTTATTTTATTGCAGATGTTTCATTACCAAACTAGATAACACCATCAGTGCTAATAGGGAATGGGGTTTACTCTTATTTTATATGTTAATGGCTTGCCCTGTCAGTGTTGGTGGGAGTGGTCTTGATGATTCCTTGATTGGGCTATTTACTGTTAGCGTGTTTGTCTGAGTTGATAACAGCTGACAGTAAAAACCTAATCAAGAACCCGCAAGATCAGTCCCTTCTAGCACTGACGATGTTACCTAACTTGGTAATGAAACATCTGCAAAAGCACAACCAAGCTCAGAGAGCACCAAGGACCCCGCAGTTCAACCCTGAAGTACAAATATTCTATCAGTAATAGATTGTAAGCTGTCTAGAGTCTATAGATGTCAAATAAGGTTACATAATAAGTAATATCAATTAAATTAGATAGGACTTTGCATCTGACTTTCTCAACATCTCTTTTCCAGTGATGCTATGAAAACACTTTTTCTGGGCCACCTTCTTTTCTTCTAAGACTCTCTTTACATTGTTTTCTCCCTGCCAGTAGTATGAACTTCCATGTATCTCATAGAGGTGAACATCTACCATTGTGAATCTGATGGAGGACATTTATAGAAAAATAAGTCCACAGTCCATTCCTCATTGTTCATCTTCAGATTAAACTGCAGAAAAGAAGGTGCCACAGATAAATGTTGCACAAAACAAAAGTAAACTTTTAGCCCAAGGATGGGGAGTCTGTGGTCATATGTGGTTAGACTGCAAACCCCGTTACTCATAGCCAACGTTCTTGATAAGAAATAAACAGACTTGTAGTGCATCAATATTAAGGGAGTGACAGATTTCCCATCATGGCATAGGGCGGCCTTTGCTTAATGAAAGATGTCTTAGCTAAATTGAAAAATATTGATTTAATTAATAAAGGCTGCTTACCACATCTTCTTCAGTCCATGCACCGATATCAAATGATGGCAGCAACTGTGTAAGAAATATGAATTTAAAAGTGCAGGTTTTTTTTTTGTCTCTATTTCTTCATCTTCTCTTAGTATATGGTTTTTATTTAGCAGGTTCTTTGCAAATTTTGAAGATTGAACTGATATGTTACCGATAAAAAGATGACATGTCCCCTTTTCTTCCCCATTCAGCCAGGTTATTTGTATTCTAACTCATTTTGGATGACTTATGATATTGACAAGACTGTGGTTTTGTTTGTTTTATTTTTTACATTTATTTGCCAGACCAGAACTTCAATGTATGCTATTTTATGTGTACAAGAACCTCAAAGTGGAGTAAACCAAATTATCATAAGTTAGCTTTTAATTAATATGTCAAGTTCTAATTTGAACTTTAAACTTAAGACAAATTCTAATTTAGGTTTGCAAACTTAGTATTGAGGAGGCTGTTTGAGATTCGCTTTTCAATTTTGTGTGAGTTATGTAAATTGTAATGAATGGTTAGTTGATTGCCTGTTAAACATCCTGCAATGATGGAGAATGTCATTCAAAAGAAATGAACACTTAAGACTTGAGACTCAGTTCTGAAAACTACTGCACACTAGTAATATGGTGGGAAACAGAAAGAATGTGTCACACTAGTGATATGGTGGGGAACAGAAAGAATGAGTTATTAATTTATTTTTATTTATTAAATGTCTAGCCTGCCCACCTCACCTAAGTGACTCTGGGCAGATTACAACAAGTTGTTAATTAAGCCGAGACTGAATCCACAGGGAAAAATTGAGTTAAGATCATCTGAGTAGGATTATGAGTAAGATTATGTAAAAAAAAAAAAAACAACCAACCTTTGGCTTTTACTGATTTTACACTGGTTTCCTGGATATGAACTAATCCATGGTAAATGTAATAATATAAGTGTCCAGACATTATAGTTTAGCACGGTATATAAATATGCCCTTATAGACTATGTATCCCACAGTGAATCTTGGGTGTGGGGGAAACAAGTCTTGAATCTTGAATCAGAAAAGAGCTGGAAGGGATCTTGGAGGTCTTCTAGTTCAGTCTCCCACTCAAGTAGGAGACCCTATACCAGGAGTTCGCAACTGGTGGTGCGAGTCGATATTCCAGGGGGTGCAAAAACTTGGGTTTTCAAAATTATAGTGTATATGCATAATTTGTTGCCGTTATTTCAAACTAATGTAAGGGATGCGAGAATATATCAGAAGCGTTCTAGGGGTGTGGGGTATAGAAAAGGTTGGAAGCCACTGCCCTATACCATTTTAAACAAGTGGCTGTCCAGTCTCTTTTTAAAAACCTCTAGTGATGAAGCACCCACAATGTCTGAAGGCAAGCTGTTCTATTGGTTTATTGTCCTGTTAGGAAGTTTCTCCTTAATTCCAGGTTGCTTCTCTCCTTGATTAGTTTCCATCCATTATTTCTTGTCTTGCCTTCTGGTTGACCCCTTCTTCTTTGTGGCAACCTCTCAAATAATGGAATACTGCTATCATGTCCCCCCTCGTCCTTCTTTTCTCTAGACTGGCCATTACCAAATCCTGCAACTGTTCTTCATATGTTTTAGTCTCCAGGGCTTTAATCACAGAAACAAACTTGAGAGGGGATGGACTAAATTCAAATTAGCCAATTAATATTTAATATATTCAACTGGATGATGAAGAAAAACAGGAAACCATGGGATGGCAATACAACAAGTTATCCTGAAAGAAACCATGAATTACCGCTTATTAGCTTGAATAAAATGGGCTTACTATTAATGTAGTGATTTCTTCATTGTTAGTGGATTTGGTATTTAGAAGTATAATTAGTAAGGTATGCAAAGATTTAAAAATTGAGAAAAGGGTTCTTGATTGACCCAAAGTTATCAAATCATTTTCATAGTCAAATTAGAATCAAATGGTGACTTAAACAGCTTCAGTATCTTAATCACTATATCATATGGCCTGTACATCATGGAAAATTCATTGGAGAATATATATATTTCTAAGTTCCAAGTTGAGGTTTAACTTCCTTGACGTTTCTAGAAGACCTTGCCTGCAAAATCACTTTAAAAAGAAAGTGGGGGTCCCCAAACTCTTCTGTAGGCTGACACAGTCTCTATATTATAGTCTTCCTCAACCTCTTATGGGTGTAAAAAATCTATAACATGTTTAGAAGATGTCTTCCAGTCTATATGTAGCAGATGGTTGCCTGTAAGAAGCAGTAGGCCCAAATCGTGATTTGTATGCCTTTCCATCCCAATTATACACAGTAGTTGACTGATTAGAGACTAGATGAGCAGTGTAGCATGGTTACAAAAATACATTGCCCTATATCTATTTCTTACAAATTCAAAGTTGTTACCTCAGAGTATTCAGGGATAAGAAATCTATAGCCCTGTACATGTTGCAGAACTGCAATTCCTGGCATCTTTTACTATTGGCCATACTGGCTGAAACTGTTGAGAATTATTTTCAATATAGATAGACCTTAAGACCACAATATGGATTGGAATTTTAATTAAAAGTTGTTGTCATACAGTAAGTCAAGGCACCATGTGAATGGACTTGATTTTATGTCCATTTTTATTATAGTCATAAAGCAAGTCACTGTAGTTATTAAGCAAATTATGTGGTTGTTAACCAAGTCACGTGGTAATTCAGTGAAGTTTATTGTAACTTTGAACGGTCATAAATAAATTACCTATATAACCATGGCATCTCCTCATGATGCATTGAAATTGTTTTAGCTTCTTCAGCTTTTTGTGCAATGCATATATCTGTATATATTGATTTGAATTGTTTCTAAATTGTTTTAATGTAGGATTGATTATGACACCCTTCTTATGCATGAATTAACACTGAAGGGAAATAACACTAATAAGGGACATTTGTGATGCATTTGGTGACAAAGCTCAGATTAAATGTTAGTACAGATGTATCATTAGGTACCCCATGTAAACATGTTTCTAATCAGGACTACAGGCTTTTTATGTATAATTTTTTCAGTGTCATCACGTTTATTGTAAAGTCAAAAATGAAACAAAGAGAAGCAAAGAAAAACAGCTCACAACAAATTAGGATTTATGACACCAAACTGTAAAAAAAAAAAAAAGGCTGGTTACATTTTGGTGTCCTGTGTATAATTAAAAATGCAAACCATTAAATGAATGAAGCAAGACATCACATAATTAAATACTATAATGAAAAAAAGTAACTACAAAAAAAAAAGTCTTGCCATGCAGAAGTGGAACATTTCACATTCCATACAAATTTTATATTCCGTTCACACTTTGTAGTAGTTTTGGCACAGAGTTATCACGGCACAGCGGAAAACAAGTCTCAACTTTTCTAAACATGGTTGAAATACTTTCCATTTACATTTTCATACACATTTGAATACAAATAACATTACCTCCTTATTAATCAATATAAAACATTTCAAAAGTGTAAAAAGCAAAAAAAACAACCCTACCCCACCCCCAAATGGTAATATGCTGGATCAGATTTCAACAGAGAGGCTTTACAAATTTCTGAAATAACTGAAAGTGTTTATATAATTTGCCTCTGTAATGTTTCTGGAATTATCCTTTGCCTATCAAGTAAGCTTTAGGCAGGCTTTTCAATAAAAATAGTTTTAAAATTCAAGTTTTGAAAAGAAAATAAGGATGGCTTTTTTACTAGTTTTCAAATGTAGAGCAGATATTCAGGACTGGAAGCTATTACTGCTTCTCATGCTATTTTATTAAAACAAAAATGGAAAAAAATGCAATGATTTCAGGGGAATTACCAAACCAAATGTGGCTCAAGCAACAGATTTTATTAAACTATACAGAAGATATTGTGATAGTAAAACAGCAGATTTCACTGTCCCTATTAATGCATTATTCTACTAATATGTCACAACTTAATACACCAGGGGAGAGCATTTTATAACCCTAGGTTATCAATGGATATTACATAAAGTAAAAATGACACTGCATTCTATTCTTAATCTTTCTTTTATATGACACTATCGATCTTTTCTTTTAGGTAAAAAAAAATCTATGAAAAAGGGAAAAAGGGAATAGCTCCAAAGAAATTACTAAATGCATTATGCCAAAGTAGATTATAGTCTACTTCAATGGTTCTCAACCTTTTCTTCATCATGGACCCTTTTCAAATACCTTTGGTGAACATGGACCAGAGCCACAGACCACCAAGACTTAACTTAAGATTTAAATCATAACATTTCTTCAAGCCTTCACGGACCACCTGTAACAACACTGTGGGCCCCCATAGGTTGAGAACCACTGGACTACTTGGGTTCAGATTTTCCTTAGAATGTATCCATGGAACTTCTATGTGACACAATTTACACACTGTTCCTCTCCAGATGTATTGTGACTTTTGCTTCCAAAATTCACATTGGCTATGTTGCCGGGGAATGCTGAAGATAATAATGCCAATACATCCGGAGTGAGGAAAGTTATTTCAGATCTAATAGGCTTTTCATAGTTGTCCAAAACTCACTAAGTTCTGTTTAACTATTTTAAAGTGTGACTGCCATGCTTTCTCATACAACAATAAACTATTGTACTCCATACACTAGATTAGGGCTTTTAGTGTTATCAAAATAACACTGCTTGTATACTTGTATACCCAAACTTAGAAATGTTAAGTTCTGATTGCAATATGCAGCAGCACAATTGTACTCTGTGACACAGCATCCAAAATGAAGCTTTAGTAATGTCCTAATAGTTAATCCAGAATATTCAGCACTACAGTAAAATTTTGGAAGTTAAATGAGTTGGAAATATGTGTGAAGGAGCTACTTTCAAAGCCTGTTTCTACAAGCAATCAGTATCTTCCTAAGATCTGTGTGTCTGAAGGCCAATAAACATAGAAAACTATCAATCAAGATAATCAAGATAACTTATTTGCTAAAAAGTAAGTTTCATGGCTTTACCATCAGTAAAGGATTGCAATTTAAGACTATAAGCAGTGGTGGAATTCAGCCGGTTCGCACCACTTCAGTAGCTAATTCTTTGTTGCCCAGGCCCAGAATGGACTTCCGGAAGCAGCATCCACACAGAGAACCGGTTGTTCACATATTTGAATCCCACCACTTATTATAATCCCTAGGAATATCCTAGAGGTTATAGAATTAATCAAACTATCATTTTTAAGGGTAGAATGATTTGAACTTGATACATCTTCCAAGTTAGTGTGGAAACTTCTAGCATTTTTTCTTCTGTCTGACAATTCCATCACAGAAAGGGGAGAAAGCAGACTAGGCAAGGGATGTGCTAGAAGGGTTTGAGAATCAACACAATGAATTCCCTTTCAATTATTTCAGAATGATAAAACATGTAAAATGAAAAGAAGTAACTCCAGGGAAGAAAAAAAGTATGCAAGAAATAAGAAAGTCCTTTATCATTTTATAGATTCCTAAATTCTTTTAAAAAAATGAACATTCTTAGAAATATGTTACCTGATTAAGTAGAAGGTCCTATTCAGTTAAATTTTCTGCTTAAATTAATCAAAGCAATCAGTTAGATGTGGAGCCCTAACCCGGATCCTTGGTTGTTTCTATGCAATTATGTTTGACTATAATTTGTGGAAATACGAATTTTATGTTTGCTTTGACTCAAGAAGTTGGTGGATTTAAATATCATTGCATTGTGTTCCTTTTTTCATTTTTACTAAGATTTTTATCAACAGAAAAAAGACAAAAATGGCAATAAATAAGCAACAGTGTGAAAAAGACATATTTATCACACAAGAACAACCCAGCTATTCAAGAAGGCTTTGTCCAGATTGGATTTTCCTTAGTTATTTTACAATAATGCTAACGACATGTTACTTGAATGGCAGGAAATCTATATTAGAATCGGTAAAACTTATTCCATTCTCTCACCTTGCCCAAGTAGGTGAGTTGTACTGCCGGATAAAGTTAGCATTTGAAAATGTTTGTTTCCTATAAATCTTAATATATGTACATTTGTCTATGTGTGCCTTCTAGTCCGTGTTGATTCCTGGTGACCATCTGGACAAATCCCTGCAATTTTCTTGGCCAGGTTTTTCAGAAGTGATTTTGCTCTTCCTCCTCCTTAGGGCTGAGGGAAAGTGACTGGCCCAAGGTCACTCACCCAGCTTTGTACCCAAGATGGGACCAGAACTCATAATTTTCTGGTTTCTAGCCTGATGCCTTAATCCCTATACCAAACTGACTCTAGTATATAGCCCACTGCTGTATGTATGAATCTTTGGAATTACAACTATAAAATATGCAGGAAAACCCCAAATGGAATTATACATTTTATCCGTTAACCTGCTCAAGAGACCTACAGGAGGAACAATAATAGATGTATACTTAAAAGAAAACTCCTGCAGTTTCAGCATTAGCATAATATTGAGCCATAACTGTGTCGACAATAGGTCAACATAAACAACAACAAAAAACTTAAATAAACAAACAACCCAAAATTGTTTAAATTAATTTTAAAATTGAAAGCAAAAAGAAAGAAAGAAACCACATAGAGGGTATAAACATAAGGAACATGAATAAGAAAACAAAATGGTTCTGTGCAACAAAATGGTGCTCTGTTCTTACTCAAAAAATGGGGAAAAAAATGGGATACTTTTTCCTCAGTGTTCTTCACCCTTTTGTTATAGATGCCAAGACTAGAGTTCTCACAGCTTTTCCTTTACTGCTAATCACTGTCATCCTCAAAATTGACCTCATCATCGGTATCATCATCATCATCATCATCATCATCAGATAAGTCGAATTCATGGAACCCCAGCGCCAGGTTGACCTTCTTCCCTTTTCTCATAGAAGTGGTTTTGGAAGAATTCTTTTTGGCTTGCATATTGATCTGCATTCCAGAATGCAGGACGGATCCTGCCTCCTTCATAGAGAAGACATCCCCAAAACCTTGCATCATCAAGGCCTTCAGACTCTGGTTCATGCCAGCTACCTCCCCATTACTTGCGGCGGTAATCTGACATGACATCTCTGCACTGTTTGATTCCTCTGTTTTAGATTCAAAGTAAGATGCCTCAGACATTCTGGCAGCAAAAGGGAAGCAAAACTAATGAAAAAGGGAAAGGAAGGACAGAAGGGGAGGGGAAAGGAAGATTAAAAACCAATTAAAATCCCAGCAAAAGACACCACCAGATTAGTTAGCAGTAAACAGAAAGTAAAATGATTAGTGAACTTTAATACAAAATGCCAAGTCAGCATTTTTTAAAGACTTGGTTATTGTAACTCCATAAAAATATCAGAAACCTAAGGCATATAAAAGGCATCATAACATATACATTTTGTGTATCATTAGAAGACTGGGGGGGTTGTTTCTTTTTGGTAGCGCAGTCTAGTCTGAGAATAATTTTAACAAAGCAAAAGGGAAAAAAATCAAAATACATTTTGTTTTCAAAATTAATTTGATTATATATATATTTCAGAGTCTCATACAGGACTGACAAAAAGGATGCCTCTGCGGAACTGTATATGGCTTATGTTTGCTTTATGTGCCCATTTTTCTATTGGAATCAAAAGCCACCACTGGTTGACAGTCAAATTAATTCTGGAGAAAGCAGAAACGAATCCTGACTCTTCAAAATTAATAAACAATTCACACTTTTTTTGCTGGAAATTAGCAAGTAATAGATACAGGATTTCAGCTTTATGACAGTCCCTTAATATAAAAATAATTTCCCATTATTTCCTATAAGATAATATTTCATGCCACAAATTATGATGGGTACAGAGTCTCCATCTCCTGGTCAGTTGCTGCCAAGAATAAGTAGAAGTGGCTTGTTGCCACACAGAGATTTTAAAAAACTAAACCAGTCTGTACCTCACACTGTATGACACATAAATCTTTCCTCACATGTAGGCTACACTACTTGAAAAGATTTCAGAAGACAAGACAAACACTAGGGAACTCATAAAAGCTTCATTCAATTGATCCCTTTTGCTGATGGAGCCCTTTCTGTCAGGGATTTTATTCCTATTCTCTGCTACCTTCTTAGGCTTGCTTGTTCAAATGTTTTGGGGATCTGCATGGAGATAAGGAGGGACTGTCTATCAATGCGAACAGAAGTCTACAGGAAGTCTCGACTTACAACAGTTCATTTAGTGACCGTTTGAAGTTACAACGGCACTGAAAGTGACTTACGAACATTTTTCACACTTATGACCATCAGAGCATCCCCACGATCACGTGATTTACATTTGGATGTTTCATATTTATGACGCTTGCTGTGTCCCAGGATCATGTGATCATCTTTTGCGACCTTCTGACGAGCAAAGTCAACGGGGAAGCCAGATTCACTTAACAACCAGGTTACTAATTTAACAACCGCAGTGGTTCACTTAACAAATGTGGCAAGAAAACCCATATAATGGGGCAAAACTCACTTAGCAAATTTCTCACTTAGCAACATAAATTCTGGGCTCAGTTGTGGTCATAGGTCAAGGACTACCTGTATCTCTATTCTGCTATATGACTATGCATAGAAGAAAATGTGCAAGTTGTGATCTAACCATGCAGAGGCATCTGTGAGGGTAAAAAAATGTTATTGTGTTATATTTTATTCCTTTCCACTTCATTGGCAATTGCTGGACATTTCTTTTGTCTATACAAACTATTAGCTACTGCCTGAATGAGACTTTTTGGCTGTCCCCTTGACAACCTAGTTCCGGGAGGTGGGGGGATTGAAACACTCTGCATTAATGCATGGATACTGCACCCACCAGCTGTGTTTTTGCAACAACTAATAGGGCAGATATTTCATGACCATTCTGATAGAGCTTTCTGGCTTTTTAAGGTTCCTGATAATGTATTTGATGTGAAGCTTAAAATTGCAGCCATTCCCAGTGATTGGGCTAAGCTGTTTCTTTCTTCATATAATTTCTTTCTTCTCGGCCTAATCATACAAAGAAATGCATGTTCAAACTCAGGGCAGGACAATGCTTTAATATACTTTGTAGTTTTGAAGGCTAGCATGATAGAGCTGTAAGAAGCTGGAGTAGAATCACAGGATCCAAATCTCAAAATACCAGCTGTAGTGTTCTTGAATTAATCATTCTGGCTCAGTATTATGTATCCTATTAATTTGTTGCAAAAAACTACGACAACATATTGGTTAAGTGGAGAATCAATGCAAGTGCATTCCAATCCATTTGGGATAAGGAAAAGAATTAAGTGAGCTATACAAACAGGACATACCTTTGAATGAATAAAAGGTCTCTCCTGGAAGAATGTTTTAAATGTTTGGCTTTGCCATTTGACTGACACACAGAACTCCTTTTAGATACATAAAATAATAATCTATTTCAACTTTAGCTCAATGCCTGATTCCTTTACACCGGGGGTGGGGAACCATGGCCCTTTTATGACTTGTGGACTTCAACTCCCAGAATTCCTGAGCCAGCATGGGAGTTGAATTCTGGGAGTTGAAGTCCACAAGTCATAAAGGGGCCATAGTTCCCCACCTCTGCTTTGCAGACACCTCCATGTAGTTTTCTAAGGAAATATGAAAATGCTTGCCGTTACTTTCTCTCAGGATATTTTTTCAACATCCCTGTCTAGCCTGTAAAAGTATACAAACTATTTCAAAATAAAGAAGTTCTTTTAGAAAAGTCCAAAATGAGACAAAATTGATATGTTGGGACTTTTGTCTAGAGACTCCAAAAACAGCCAAGATCACCTGGAAAACCTACTATAGATGCTCCCCTTCTGATTCTCCTACAATCACATCTTGAAAGTTTGACCTAGTCTTTGCTGTGGTTCCCAAAAGAGACGTGATCAAGAAGCAAAGCTCAGCGGAGGGCTAACTATGGTTTGTTCATGCCATATGGAAAATGGAGAGCTTAGTATATTATGGAGCTTTAGCTAAACACGCTAAATCTGGAATAATCCTACTGTACTGATTTTAGTATAAATGTTCTTGAATGAAGAGTAGAATCCTAATCCTAGCTGATTTTTTACAAAGAGCAGCCAAAAAAAAAAAAAAAAATGCCTTACGCTGCAGCAGATGCGACTTGAGCCCTGCAACTAGCCATTTGTTTGAAGCACCTTCCTATTTCATTCAAGTTATTATCACTTGCGTCTACAGCTCCAAATTGCATATTGTATGAAAAAAGAAAGATTTGTGTGTATTTGCATCAGTGCATTAAAAAAAAATACCCCCAAATAAATAATAAGGCTGCTACATACTGATGGCTTGCTACACTGAACACTCTTGAGTTACATTACAAGTAGCCAGTATTTGGATGTGTAAATCAGGACTAAGAGGGATGAGTTTCCATAATATATCCACAAAACTGCTCAATTTGTCCTCCTTTCAATTCCATGTCAATGTCACCACGATGTTTGACAATGACAGAGCAGGTGCTGAGCAGCTGCTGCTTAGTCCCTAAACTTGAAAACTCTCTGCTTAGCATGTGTCTCCATCTGCTTCCAATTCCTGACATAAGTTCTATACGCTAATTCTTGCATATTAATTAAGCTTTTCTTTTTTAAAAAAATAAATAAATAAAACCAAGAATTTCTTCCCCCAAACTGACAATGAGCTGAGCTTCCCAGATAAAAAGACTGAATCACTTTTGCAATAAAGGATGTCCCTGTTGAAGGACTGTAAATAGTTCTTGTTTTTAACTAGAACAGTGAAAAAACAAGTTCGCAACTTGCCTTTTTACCGGTATATGTTTTTTACCATCTCATGTTAAACTTGAGCTATTAGAAACTGCAGCCTTGACATGAACAAAGAATGTTTACTTTAAAAAAAGAAAAAAGGCATGCAATTTAAATCTTGTCTTTAAGCTACTCCCTACTTTTTCCTAATTCCTTGCAGCAGTAGGGCCAAGGGTAGTTACTCAGCATTTATTCACCTATGCCCCATCTGAAGTGACTTTTCGAAAGCTGTAATCCCAGATTACAATTTTGCCTTTGAGGCAATAAAGAAAGAAAGAAATGGTGCAACCCTAAACGCACGAAGGGGATTACATTTCGATTATGTAAACCCTGAGCTGCCTTTAGACTACTGAGGGCAGAGAAGAGAACTTCCTTGCCCTGCCTGTTGCAAGTTGTTATTTGTATATCAAGGCAACCCTTCACTCTGCTGAACCTGAAGCTTGTCTTGAGATGAAAATAGCAGCTTCTGAAAGGGCATCTCTTGTCAGGAGCTAGCAAGGGGAAAGAAAGAGCCGAGCAGCTATCTACATAACAAAATGGGCACATTAACTAGATTGAAGGGACTAACCTCTTGCCCATTTTGACCTTGATCATTAGCATAACTCTCTGCTATAAAGCTGGAGCATGCTTTGAAATAACTCTACAATATCACAACCCATACTATCACTGTTGTCTTTTGGTTAGTTTCCCTAGCAATGGGTTGGAGGTTCTCACTGTTTCCTGAACGCTATGGTTTACTTTACATAAAATTCCTGCAGGAGAAACCATTTCGAATCAATGAGGTGAAACAAGCCCAAACAACACGGCCCTATTGTAATTTTTTTTTTTAAAAAAAAAAAACATGCTACTCTTTGTTTTTCATGTGTAAAACAGAGTTTGGATTTTTCATTGCCCATCTTGGACCACAGATGATTTTGCTCTGGCTTATAGAACTCACTGCACAAATCTGTAGCTTTTGATTTTTAACTGTCCGGAGCTCTGTTTCTTGACCAAGGGAGAGCAAGATCTCTTTGACAAGGTGCTTAACTGGGTGCTAATCTAAGGTGATTCAGTGCACCTAATCCTACCACTGGCCTTTTATTAGGCATGCCACTTTACATGTGAGAAATGTATTTTTAAAAGCTGCAAAGATGAGCTTCCAGTCATGTGAGCCTTTGCCTACAGTCTACAGCAGTGGTTCTCAACCTGTGGGTCAGGACCCCATTTGGGGTCGAACGACCATTTCACGGGGGTTGCCAAACAACGCAGTCCGCCATTTTTTCCCCCCTTTTCCTTAGCTGTGCTACTCCCTTTTATTCTATTGGCTTTTGAAAGCCAATAGAATAGACTCTCTTGAATAGAGTCTAATTCTATTGGCTTTCAAAAGCCAATAGGAATTGTCCAGGCTGTCTCTGCCCTGCTAAGCCCGCCAAAAGTCTCATTCTGCAAACGGTGCTGCACCAGTTGAGTAGTCCTCGACTTACGACTGGTTGAGTAGTCCTCGACTTACGACCGGTTGGGGGTCGCGGCATTAAAAAGGTTGAGAACCACTGGTCTACGGAGATGCAGCCTTTATGGGATCTATTGCCTCAGTGTGTAACTATGGGGCCAATGTCCCATTTCTGCTCTTTCAAGCCTCCTGAAGAAGCCAAAGGCTTGAGGTGGTTTACAAATGCCAATGACTCCCACAGGTCAGCTCTTCTTTCTTTTTTTCTTCAACAGAAACATTTTAAAGATGTGAAGGACCAGCAATACAATATCCTTTTCAAGTCTCTATAGTTCTCATTTCAAACCATCCTTTATGGAACCAAATCATGAGCCCTTATTCACTGGGACTTGAATTCTCCGAAAAAGAAGAAAAATATGCATATCAGTTCAGTTCTTTATTCCTCTTTTATCCAGAGATGTATTTGCTCCTGCTTCCATTCTCTCAAATATAGGCCACTACTTGACAAGACTCACAAAAACATCTGCAATTTGTTTTTATATGTAGATGAATTCTGAAGTTAATTTCTTAAGAAGTGAAGGAAAAGGGGGGAGGGGAAAGGTGGTTTGGAAACAGCGAGATTTTTTTTTATTATTCAAAAATCTGACAGAAGCCCTTTCAGCTATAGGTCCTGAGGCTTAAAAGTATTTCACTTTCAATATCATTTTAGCCTTCCCTTTTCAAGAATGGCATTTGTTTGCCACAGAAGGCTTGTATTAATATCCTATAGAAAAGAAGTTTACACTGAGCACAATAGACTTGAGCACAACACTTTCCCTCAGCAAAGCCAGCCAGTAAAAAGTCGCAGCAAAAAGCAATGGTGCAGGATAAAAATCCCTTAGCCTCACTCATGGAAAGATCAGCTCATTATGGCTATGTTTCATGCTGTGAACCACATAGGTGATGGCCTATATCTTAGCTACTCAATCTTTGCAGACATTAAAGGAAGCCTACAGGCTACCTAGAGAGAACAGAGAACACCTTGCTTCTAGGAAACACTCATGCTTCATCATTATAGGCTACTCCGTGTTCACAGCTGGAATACACATGCAGTGTCATTCATACAGATGCCATTAAGCTGTGCCTCAGAAAGAAGGTGCAGGAAGAGTGAACAGGCCAAAATCCCAACTCAGATTAAATAGTAAGTACAATGCACAGAAGGACAACGCTCTGCAACATCTGCAGGTTTGATAAACATTGCAAATGAATGCTGGCTCAAGAGGCAATGGTGGATGAAGACTATTAGCTCATCAGTTTGGGCAGAAGTAAAATGCAACATACAGTAATTAAATAATGCAAACAGAAGCTTGGCTGTTACTACCAACAGATATGTTAAGGTAATCGTGTTCTGCTTGAAAGCTACATATATATATATATATATATATATATATATATATATATATATATATATATATATATATATATATATCAGTTTTTATGCAGCCATATCATTTCACTGCATATGGAATTAAGCTTGATGGCTCCTTTAGGAAACAAGATTCAGATTTAGATAGAAAACGTTACTTATGTTTTGCCCTTTATTCAGGAAAACAGTCATTTAGACCTGAATACAAATGGTTCCCAGTGCAATTTCTATACCTCTCCACCTGATTCCTTCTAAAATCACTACTTTTATGGATTACATAACATTAATGGGGGGGGGGGGAAATCTGAACCTCCTTCCTGTGTTGCACTAATTATATGGCCATGCTCTAGTCTCAATATATCTCACAAGAACAAAACTTGTCATTTCCATAACAGAATCCAATGCCTGAAACATATCCATTTCCATGAAGCAGCCTGATGGCACATATTGTTAAAGCAAAGCAGATCACAGTCTGTTCAGTTTCTTACGTGGAGATCCCAGATTCTCCCCCAATCAGATGCTCTGTACTTCTCGAAGGAAAAGTGGGACGTCAGTGTAATAACTATTTTTTAAAAACATCTCAGCTGACCCAAATTCTTAATATTATGACAGTTTCACAAAACAGTGATTCAGAATTAAGCTACAGGGTTAAGAGATCTGATATGCCTCCATAACAGAGGTAATCAATGTAGATGAAACTGACTAGATCATGTTATTTCTTTCCACAGGATTGCAGGGGATTTCTGATTTTTAACTTTGGCAAGAGCTCCAATTGTATTTTGATACAGGGAATGGGAGATTAGATTGGATCTAAGACCTAGTAGATTAAGTCCACTGAATTTTGTAGATTTTACCTATGATTCATTTAAGTCTTTTTTTTTTCAGTTGGTTAGCTAAGAGATAAACAATTATGCTAAAATTCTATCAATATGTATAGCAATACAAATTCAAAAGGGAAAATATCTTTGGAGTTATGTGGGCATTCCTGTTGCCCTTGCCTGTATTTCTTTGTGAATAGCTCCACATAATTTTAAATACGGGTTTTTGTGTAGCCCTAAAAATATATACAGCTAGCTGTAAGACAAGACCCAGAGTATAACAGCTTTACTGTAGATTGCAATCCAATATTGTCTTATCTGAGAATAAACTCCAGATTATTGTGTTGAAATTAACCATATACTAATTAATTTAGATGGATGATACCTTATTTTCAGTGCAAATTTAAGAATAATTTACTTGGGCTTTAATAAATCATAATAAAGCAACTAAGGTTGCTTCATTTCTCAAAGTCTTCACTTATACTTCCCAACAGTTTGAAATGAAGTCAGTTTCAAAAGACTTGTCTAACAAAATATGGCCACTTGCAATTCAAAGCAGGAAAATAGGAGAGTTCGACCATATGAATGCAAGTGTAGCTTAAGACATTTCTCAGATTCATGTTTTAGTTGGATTTTTCAGATTCCATTGCGATGAACACTAAAACAAAATCTGTAACGGTACTTACCGGTGTGTTGGATTGTTCAGTTAGCTTCTGCTCCCACATTCTCAGGCGTTTTTCCCTTTCCTTTAGTTCCTGTTCTTTAAAGCTCAGATCGCGTTCCAATCTCTTCAGTCTTTCTAAGGTGGCCTCTATTTCACATCTAAACAGAAAAAAAAAATTGTTAAATTGTGCCTTCCCCTGGCAGGAACAAATTGTTCACAAATATTTTCCATTCGAAAGTTAATGAAAGAGTGAAAAATATAGTGCTGTTTCAAGTAGGACTCTTAATTAGTGGAGTACAGATTTGTTTGAACCCTAAACAAAAAGAAGAGGCCCTCTTTTTGAAGCCTGATGCAAGCTGAGGCTTGCCAGGCTCCATGTCTTCCTTCCTGAACACTTCGCTACCTCAATCATCCAGCTTGGATACCTTCCCAAGCCCCCTTTTCCACTCACTATCTCCCAGCCGTCGACCCATCAAGGAAGGGGAAAGGGAAAGAGTCAAACACCAGTGTTTCTGAAAGTAAACCAAGCATGGAGGACCCCTTCTTCAAACACAGAGGAACTTCATTCTGAATAGTAAGTCCTTGAATTTGTCATTTTTTTTCTCTTCATATTTTGCTATGAATAAGGAAATTGAGTCCACACATAAATACAATTAAGTGTGCCATTTGAGAATAATATTTGGAAATGCCCCAATATTTTATGCAATCCAATAAAGTGTCACAGATCATGTCCCCAGCAAGACTTTTTGTTGAAAAAGGAGGGAAAATTTAAAACTGAAGCAAGAAAATATGAATTTAAGATACTTTCCTATAGGCTGGACCAAGGCTGATTTTTTTTATTATGCAACTTATTTACATGTACTTATGAATCATGTAGAAATGCCCTTTAAAAATAATTAATGAGCCATCTCCTGTCCGTCAGCAGGATGAGAAGATGAGCTGAAAGTGAATGCTAGACTTTTCCATTGCTTTTAAATACACTTGCCAGTGGTTACCACTAGCACAATATTTTTTGCCTCTATATAAAATGAATGGCATATCAGAGAAAAAGGGTTCATCCCTAGCTCTTTTCCTTTTGGGCACTTTTCTTTCTTTTTTTCATTAGGAAAAGCACTCCTCCACCCCAGAAGTCTGAAGCGTGACGATCCATTTTCCGAGCTTAGAAATGTATACATCTCAGTCCCACTGCATTTTGCTGCAAGAGTGGCAAAACTTTTCCAAGTCTATGATGTATAAGCTGACTTAAATTACTTTCGATAGCATATCACAGAACATAGAACACAGAATAACAGAATAATAGATCCTTGATCTATTAACAGTATTAATCTATTAATAATATCCATTAATAGATCTATTAAACCTAGTTTAGATCATCTATTACAATTTCAGTTTTAAAAAACAGAATTCCTAATGTATTTGAAATAATAGTAATTAACATTTTAATTATCCATAAAATGTCAACATCCCAGAAAAATGTATGCATGATTATCAAGGTAACTTTTAAGATGAACTGAAGAAGGAGTTTTACAGTACAATTGTACACAAGTAGATTCAGAAGTCAGTCCCAAACATATAGACTCAAGTAAGTCTTATGGATCATGGTGTTATTTTTCAAGGTTGTCCAGAGTTGCTTTTGATTGGCTGATTTTAAAAACTAACTAAATAAATGTAGAGTCGCACTATAAAATTGTTTAATTGAGAGGAATAAGCCTGAAAATACAAAAGAAAATTCTATTTGGGGAATCTTCTAAAATATGAAGGATGGAGTGTAAGCTTCATATTATATTTACAGACCCCTTACATCCTGGACATAAACTGTTTGAACTCCTCCCCTCAGGATCCACTCTAGGGTATATGCATGCCAAAACAACTAGACACAGGAACAATTTTTTCCCTCATGCCATCACCTAATTCCTACAGCACTGTCTATGCCTAAGGATATCTAACCATGTAGCAGGATTGTATTACTATTATCTTTCTCAATTTTCCAATTACCTACTCCTCTTAGTATCTTATGACTATGACTTTGTTGTTTGTATCTTACTTATGGTTGTATCTTATGACTTACGATTTATCATTTTGTTGCTTGTATGTATACTGAGAGCTTATGCACCAGAAACAAATTCCTTGTGTGTCCAATCACACTTGGCCAATAAAGAATATTCTATTCTATTTTGTTTTATATTATTTCTATCATTCAGATTTACTGTTTGGTAGCTAAGCTCTTTTGCTAGGTTTTCCTTAAACCTTAAAAAGGTTTCTATTTCTGATTTTAAGCATGGTTTTCTTCTCTCTTAAAACTCTTCAGGGTTCAAGACACCAGAATTTTTTTTTTCCGTGCTTGCTATTGTCTGGTTAGAAAAGATCCTTGGAACTGTGAGCCAAAGGTCCCTGTGAATCCTATCACTAATTCTTTTGCCTAAATTGCATGCCTGGCCCCAAAATGACCCCAACTGTCAACTAGTATGGCCTAAGGCAAAGAATTGTCAGAGATGCTTGAAGTACAACAGGGGCCTAGGAACAAGACCCAGTTTTGCCCAATAAAATCATCTATTTAATAATTGGTGGTGCAGCCTTGATCCAAATCCAGTTGTTCAGGTTTGGCCAGCCATAATGAGAAACATAAAATTGATGTTTTGCATTTCTTTGTCACTTTTTTTGACGATATATGGGAAACGCCTCAAGCCACTTGCCAATGAAAACCTGTATAATCTAAGGATGCTATCTTACTGATTGATTGCTTCAAATATCACATTAAACTATGTGTTGTTTTGATTCAAACCTGAAGGCCACTAGATGCACTGACACAGAGAGAATCTTAAATAAAAATACTGAGTTATCTTCATGTGCACTACATCTATTTTAAACATGTAACAAACTGCTATCCAACTTTTAAAGTCTTTGTCCTTAATAACAATACTTTCTAAATGCCAAAATTACACTGTGTATGTGCTATAATTATCTCTCTTCATTAGACAGAAAGCATTTTATAGAGAAAGGTTAGATTCTCTAAAAGGCTGCAATCTTTAAAAATATATAATAAAACAGTATAATTAAACAGAACGCTTCTTTACATTGCTTAATTAATATATCTTATTCTACAAATTTATTAATTTACACTGAGTATTGGTGATCATGTATGTTCCATTTATTTTAGTAGTTTTAGAAATTAACATTGCCTGCTGTCTTAGTGTTACATGAAATAAAAACAAATAAAGTGCAGTCATAGTTTCATTAATAATTTCAGGAAAATTATTTTAAATTCAGTTAACATATTCAAAATTGATAGTAACTAACTGTGCCCTTCTGCAAACAGAAGGAGCCAGTTGATTTAAAGCAGGGGTGTCCAATTTTGAACTTTAAGAAGTGTGGACTTCAACTTCCAGAATTCCACAAGCAGCCATGCCAAGAGGGGTGGAGGAATTTTCACCAATTATCCCTGTGCTACATTTTATAACGTTCAGAAGGCTTCCTATAATTACTGGAGCCAATTTCTCCATTTTGGTAACATTTTTAATCAAAAATAAACTAGGAGAAAATTCTAGTTCCCTAAATATATTGTATTTATGGTCGATACTGTTTTTAACAATGTCCATTAAAGCAACTTGGGCCTTGATTTTTAATGTGTTACTGCCAAGATTAGGAAGCTCATTACAATGTACTAATTTTTGATACCTGAATTGTTTTATGAAACAAACATAACTAATAGAGCATGGCACAATTCCTATTTTGCCCAAGTTTTATTTTATGTCTTGTCCCCTTCATTATTTTCACCTAAGTTTCTAAATACAATAAGATTTAATTCTTATTGTATTTAGATGCATAAGTTGGGATCCAGGGGTATATAGGTCCTCCAGAAATACTTGGGTATGATTCCTAGAGATCTCAAAAATTATTATCAAATCTGTAGTTTTAAAAATATACTTATATACTTGCATTGACCTACGCAATAGCTTTATATTATATTGTTCCCTCAGAAATCTAAATAATCCTAAGCTAGGTCCTAGCTACTTCAAGTTCTTATAGCATTAGCAACCATTTCCCACTTTAGCAACCTATAAAAAGCCATACTGGTTGCCTGGCTTCAATTGGATAACCTAAACATATCTGGAAATTCTGTAATCTTAAATACACATTGTAGAAAATAAGTGGGACTTGCTCTTGAGTACATGTGTTTAATACTCTATGGCACGAGTGTCAAATTTGCTGCGTCCCATGATGTGTTGTGACATATCGTGACTTTTTTTGCACTGCCGGAGCTGGGGTGGGTGCAGCCTCCGTATGATGCAACCGGCCCATGGACCAGCAGTTTGACACCCCTGCTCTATGGGAAGGATTCATCATGATCCATAGAATTATAAAACGCTTGAAGCTTTATCTCCGGTGCAATTTGCAGTTTGCAGTTTGCACCAGTAGATGGCACAATGCATCCTGGTCTTCAGAGGGCTGTGCTAGAGTGGATTATTGCCACACTCTGCTGAGTCAGTGCAAGAAGAATGTCAGTTCTAAAACAAGCTATTTATACTTGCATCGTGTGACTTGGCTCAAACCTCCCATCTCTGCTCACATTTTCCATCCCTGCAGTAAAATTCTCTTGCTTCTTATCAGTTCATCATTATTTTCCCCCTTAAAGTTTAGGAAGTTTTGTATTGGCAACTCCATTTTCTATTCATCCTGGGATTTTAAATATTATTTACATGCTAAGATCTCTCTAATCTTTCTTGCATGGTTTTCTTTGCCAGTCTCCAAAGAAAGCAGGCATATAACCATCAAGTGGACTACTAAATTGTGCTCTGCAACACTTGGAGAATGGCCAAGGTTTCTTAATTTAGATTACTGCACAATTCGTTGTATTATCCTCTTCTTGTACAGATAAGATCCCTTTTCATCGGCCTCCACAGTACTCTAAGCAGAGCTGTTTGAAACGTATCAATATATTTTATTTCTATATTTATGCACACATCTGATTAGAGTGCTTTACAAATATTCTAAAGATTGGACATAAAAATATTTCTCTGGAATAAGCCCAGATGAATATCACAGGGTTTATGTCTGAAAAAGCATGCTCAAATCTGTCCACTAAAGAAAGACTTTTAGCATAGAAGGTACAACAAATGAAGGATATTAATAGTGGATGGAAAGTCTGACATAGTTAGAGAAGACTCACCTAGATCAATGGAAACAATAAAGTCAAGACTAATTTAAGTACAAATGACTAAAGTTGGATCTCACCCAATCTCTTTCAATTTAGTAACGACTTATACACATAATCTTATAGCTGTGTAACCTGGGAAAGAACAACAAGAACAAGAGATACCATAAACAGGTAGCCAGGATACATACTGCTCAGTGGTGGGATTCAAATATGTGAACAACCGGTTCTCTGTGTGGACACTGCTTCCGGAAGTCCATTCTGGGCCTGGGCCACAAAAAATTAGCTACCGGTTCTGCTGAAGTGATGCGAACTGGCTGAATCCCACCACTGGTACCGCTTCATAAATCCAGCCTAGACAATTCGCTGGGGAACTTTTCAAGGATCAGTGAAAAGCAAAAGAGTCTTACAATAACATATATATATGAAAATGACCAAATAATGACTGCAAATTTTTGAGATGGCAAATATTACATCTGCTAACTTTGTGCTAATTATCCTGCTATTCTAGCCCTGGATAATGAAATAAATTATGGACAAGAATATTTTCTTCCCAAATTTTGCAATTTAGTTCTGGTCCCTTGATTCATAGCTGTCTGTTTATATCTCTTACTATCATTCTTAATGCTTAACAAATTTAATTTTGTGGTCTGATTTGGCCATTTTGATGTATATCTGATTGAAACCAACTCATTGCTTCTAAATATACCAAACACAAATTTGTTTCTGATCACCATTATGCAGAAAAAGCACCAACGTGAACACGTAGTGGGAAACACAATTTTTCCCATCTGATAGCAAAACAATGATTGCTGGAGCTTGCACTTAAAATTTTGAAAATTCAAACACTGGATATATAATTTTAGCCATGTATTTTTTCTGGAAAATACTTCATTTCTCCCCATAGATAATGTCATAATTATTGGTGGGAACTACAAGGACTCACCGCCATTCTGCCTTGTTGTGCAGGAATGAATTGCATTGGTCTGGAAGGTTGCTATCATTTGACATGGAGTCCAAAATCGAAATGATCTGCTTGAAAGAGGGTCTCTTCTGAAGACACACAAAGCAATATGTACATCATTATGCCCATTATGACATTTACATTCCGTAAACCTACATTTTAATATTACACTATTTGCAGAATTAATAACATTTTCCAACGATAGCAGCAAGTCTAAAACTGGAAGGGAACTCATACTGGGACGCTGACTAGATAATTATTAGGTAAACAACACAGAGCTGTAAATTATTATAGCTATAAATGCAGAACTTGCTGCTTTTAAATTTCAATACAAAAATGGTATCTTAAAATGGTAATATAACAAGACGCTGACCTGAATGGACCTTCCAGATTACTCATGTAAAATAATGCAATAAAAGAGTTACGATATCCTTAATCTACTTTGTAATCTTTATCAACTGGATAGAACCAAAAATCTATGCTCGTTTTCTGTTCTCGGTGATCTCTCTGGAAAGGTTGTAATCTTTCCACCAGATACGCAGCAGAAATATGCTGGATATCTGCCTGAACTTATTGATCTTAGTATGGCTGTACCATGCATGCAGGAAATGGATCTGTAGACAGTATTCTGTTTTCCTTGCCAGGGATGCAACACAAATATAAACAGAAGGATATCTTGGTTCAGTTTGTCTAAGATTGTTGTTGTTGTTGTTCAGTCACTAAGTTGTGTCTGATTCTTCACAACCCCTTGGACCATGCCAGATTCCCCTGTCCTCTGTTGTCTCCTCTAGGATCTCCTGCACTTTGCCATAGGTGTATGATAGAAAATTGTATCCTGTTCTCCATTTATGACACTTTTTCCCATAGTTTCCACATCAAGCAGTATGATCTTTCCTTGTCCAGGAATTCCACTGTATGGGTGAAACATCTGGGACAAAAATTACTTGACTACTGTCCAGGCTTGACCATCCCAGCTGTAGGCCCAGGGTCCATAATCAACATTCCACAAGTTATAAGTTGGATCTGTAGCCCTCAATGAAAATTATGCAACCCTGTTATGGGAAACAACATTCCTGAATCAAGGTGGGCTAGAGAAGCCCATAATTTAAAGAGAGGGGGAAAAAAAAGACATTTAATTTTATGAGCTGTAGTTTCCTATATCCCATAAAGGTGATTATGTAGATATTTTTTGCCTCCCTGGTATTCATAGGTTAGTATGTATGTTCCAGGGTTTGGTATTGGCCTCATGCTCAGCTCCAAATGCTAGTTCTAGTCTAGCTATAGGTAGTTGGCTTTATGAGTTGCTTCCCCCTATATATGCTGGCATTGTAGCTGTTGCTATCTGAGGATATTTGTAAGGAAGCCTGAACGACTTGACCAATCCTTGACACTGCTAGTTTCCATATCGTTAATTGCAAAGATTCCCCTTTTATTGGAGGTCCGCATAATGTAAGTTATTACTTGGTTATCATTTCATGTTTTTCCAGTGATTATCCTGGAAATCTATTAGGGAGAAAAGTGCCAGCACAATCTTGTATTGTTTCTCAGCCTGGCCAACTTTAAAATGGATGGCCTTCAACTCCTAGAATTCATGCTGGATTGGGGAATTCTGGGGCTTGAATTCCACCCATCTTAAAGTTGCAAAGTTGAGAAACATTGCTCTGGAGTATTACAGAAAACAGAGAAGGGAGTTGCAGAGCAGAGGATATCATATAGCAGGGCTTTCCAAATTTTTCCCTTCGGTACCCAAAACTGCTTATCGAAAAGTCCTTTTTTACCCAATCTAGGCAAAACACTTTAAGTCAACTTAAATGTTCCTATTATGATTGGGTATCGATACCCAAAGAAAAAAACACTTTTTACCAAATTTGGGCTAATTAACCCAAGTTTAGGAAGTATTGCCTTAGGGCAGGGGTAGGCAACCTCGGCTCTTTTATGACTCATGGACTTCAACTCCCAGAATTCCTGAGTCAGCTATGCTGACTCAGGAATTCTGGGAGTTGAAATCCATGAGTCATAAAAGAGCCGAGATTGCCTACCCCTGCCTTAGGGAATGAAGATGGAAGGTTGAAGGTAATGTCAATTTCTGTGTTGCTAGATAGCACTTCTTGATTTTTTGTTCTGTACCCTTTGCTTTTAATCTTAGTACCTTAATCTTTTTAATACACACTCAGTAGATAAGGTTTCCTCCTGAATCGCTGAAATGATATTACACCCAACTCAATTACTTCCATTACTAGTTGCTACTGGAATGCATCCTCCTCCATCAGTGCTCAGCCATTGAACTTAACTCTTGTTTTGCTGTCATGTTTATTTTCTAGCAGACTTTTAGGACCGTAACTCTGATAAAACAAAGTTACGCAAGAACTATACAAAATGAAAAAGCATACAGGGCTCAGGTTTCTTCTCACTATCAACTCAAAGCGTGAAATATCTTATTTTAAGAGAGAGGGGAAACCAATTTTTCAGCTGTATTAAGGTATATTATTGGAAGCATCAGAAAAGACTGAAGTCTCTCTTGAAACTGCAGCAACAATAAACTCCTAAATCTCCTTGACTTCGTGGCTCCTTTAAATTAGAGTTTTCTTAAAATCAAGTTCACTTTGATGTTGGAGTCAGCAGGTAAATAAAAGAACTATCCTGCAAAATAAATCAAGAAGTTCATTCCCCACAGCAAGAACAGGTTCAGAAGTGAACACTCTCTATTTGATCCATATCAGCGCCTCAGTCTACTGAATTTTGTGAAGTGGGAGGCAGGTTATGAGGGGAATTTTTCTTATCTGTTAAAATAAGCAAAAATATACTAGTGTTTTCACATTTTCTTACAATTTTTCTATATTTTTATTAGAAATTTGCTATTATTTTGTTTGTGTGTGTATTTTTTTTAAAAAAAAGTTTAAACCTGCAATATAAATTGCAAAACTAAATGGCTGCTGGTGAAGGCATTGTGTGGTGGAAAGAAACTAAAACACAAAGCAATTCATTAAAGCAGCTAATAATGGTAATTCCAATTTTGGGGAACAAGGAGGAGAAAGCATAATGCTTGCTCTGACTGCACAGCTACATCGATTCAGGAAGATGGATAGAGCTTCACAGACTATATACCCCAAAAAGTAAATTATAACTTCATCTGCAGCTTATAATGGAAAAACAGCAATTACTGACTAGTAGGAATTCCCCACTAGTAAGAAAAGTTGATGAAATATTCTTGTAATTTCCATTTTTACCAGAAAAACTTTTATCAGAAATTACTATTTTGGCAATTTTTCCATATATAGTCCCTAGTTTTGATGCTTCAATTTTTAACAAACTATTTTTGCCCATTCTAGCTTTGGATTTAGTATTGATTTAAAATATTAGAAATCCTTCGTTAGTGTTTTATAAACTGATAGTTAATGGTACTGCACCTTTTATAATGACATATGATTTGATATTTGTTACAAACTGTTCTGATTAAGTTTAGCAGGAAGAGTGTCATATTAAAACATAAAATTACCTATTAGTTGTGCAAATACATTTGACTCCTGATAACTTTTATGAGGCTTCTGAGCTTGTTCTGCTTTAATTCAATTTTGATTCACTGTAGGCATTCATACAACTGGAGGTTTATATGTCTCTTCTGTTAGTAATTACTCCTCCATTTTTCTAATACAGAGACCAGAATGAAAATCTTGGATCAACTTGGAAAAGTGAAAGTCTTTTTTCTTAAAAAAAATATCATTAAAGGAGAAAGTATTTATAAAAGTGACTGAAACCTGCAAGGAAGGAAGGAAGGAAGGAAGGAAGGAAGGAAGGAAGGAAGGAAGGAAGGAAGGAAGGAAGGAAGGAAGGAAGGAAGGAAGGAAGGAAGATAATTTTCCTAAAGTCTGAGTCTAACCCAATTAAATGTTAAAATTTGGGAAGATTTAGCAGTTCCTACCCTATTTCATACAGAATCGTGATATTTTGAACATGGTATCATTGCCCATGTTTTATTTCTGCAATGTGAAATTTTTAGTCTATACCAGGCACAACATATTAATCTATACAGGCATTTTCCAAAAGTGTGCGAAATTTCCAATTATACTTTGATAGTAAAATGTACCTTTACATCAAATTCTCTAAAAATCTGGGAGAACCTGGTGTAATCATAAGAATTAAATAACAGCGCCAATATATTTAATTTTCTATACTTTTTCAGTAGGAAAGAGTGTACCAATTTTAGCATTTTGTAACCTGGGAAGTCAAGTCATGCTGAAGTCCAGTGACCAAGCAGAGGAAGATGGGGCTATGCACAGCCCAAGCCAAATTGAATGGCCTCAGACAAAGCAGTCATAAATTTCCTCACATTCTCTTCTGAATTTAAAGCTTCTTTTGTTATAGTGCAAAAAGTGGGATAATTGTTGAAAACTGAAAAAGTCTTAGTAAAATGCTTCTCAAGAGTGCATTGCCTCCAGTAGTCTGTTTGACAGACCCCAGACAAGGTTAAGACAAAAGGTGGAAACCAAAATGTGGAGACATAATAAAGGGATGATGCACACTCTCTCTGCATCATGCCTGTAATTATACCATTTCTGCTAAAATTACAGATGCGGCAATTAAAACGTGCATTTTAATTTGGGTGCACAAAAACAATTAGGAACAATGCTGAGGTGTCTTTCCCAGGCAGATCCAAGTGATTTTCACATTATAAAAGAGAGACAATTTCTTTATTTCAAATGTCAAACAACATTATTCATATGTGTGTGTGTGTGTGTGTGTGTGTGTGTGTGTGTGTGTGTAACAAAAAGAGACAAGTGTTCTTCTCCGTAAGAACTGCCTATTCAATGTTTAAGTGAAGGTATTTCTTTTTCTGTTTTTCTGTTCTGTCTTGTCATTTTTGGTCTGCATGGATTATAACCCAGCTGCTTTTAAAGCTAAACAGTGGCTGTTCTGTTCATTTCACCCCACATGACAGGTTCACAGACAATATTTTACCCAAATCTTTGCAGTAGGACCTAAATGTAGCAACCTGGTTTTTGAAAGTCAAGTTGCATGGGAGAACACAGATTGGGGAAGACTACTTTAGTGTTTAATGCTTTTAGGAACAGTAGAAGCATAATCTACATGCAGATACGCACCGATGATGTGTTCCTTCATTATGCATCATATATTCCTTCCAATTGGACATGGGTAAGGACTGGATGTAGCAGGAGTGTAAGAGTTCAGGACAACTAGCAGCATTTGGTAGAGACCAAATTTTCAGACTTTGGGCCAGGTTGGGGGTGGGGAGGTTATATAAATTTAATAAATTGTAATTATTCTTTTATAGCAGCTAAATAGCTCTCAAAATTTCCTCCACAAAAATGTCTTTGCCTAGTAACGTTTGACACCACTCAAAGTTAACACTTCTGAACTAAACCATCACAGTAACAGATGCAAGAAATACCACAATAGACTATATTTCATTGGTGTTAATTACACTCTGGATTATCCTAAATTCAAACTTGCCAAATACTAATAATGTATTAGTAAATACTGAATAATGTAAAAAATTTTTTTAAAAAATGCAAAAAATTGTGGAATGCAAAAATCCAACTCTCAGTTTTCCATGGCCTATCACTGATTCTGCCTAGGGTGCTGAGTTCACTTGTACATACACAGATCCAGGAGGAAACACAAACTATTGCCCACTAATTTCTGATAATTGCAAAAGGACCTAACTTGATATCCTTTCTTTTATCTGCACTTTTATTATATATAGTGATCACCAAGATTTGTTCTGATGTTTATATCATATAATAATAATAATAATAATAATAATAATAATAATAATAATAATAATAATAATAATAATAATAATAATAATAGTCGTGGCAGTGCCTGGAGATAGCAGAATAGAAGAGAAAGAACTGGAGAAGATAACAAAATACAAAGACCTACAAATAGAAATAGAAAGACTGTGGCAAAGCAAGCAAGGGTAGTACCAATAGTCATAGGCTCCTTGGGTGCAATCCCAAAACAACTGGAGCACCACTTGAACACCATTGGCATTGACAAATTCGCTATTAGTCAATTGCAAAAGGCGTCCTTACTAGGAACTGCTTCCATCCTGCGACGATATCTGTAATACCATCAAACATCCACATCTGCCTATCCCAGGTCCTGGGTAAGGACTCGATAGGTAGACAAAATGCCAAATCCAGTCTGAACATCTGGCTGACTGTGCGATGATCGATAATAATAATAATAAAGTTGGAAGGGACCTTGGAGGTCATCTAGTCCAACCCCCTGCTCAGGCAGGAAACCCTACACCTACATATGATTCTAGGATTCTATGAAACCCTACATATGATTCTATGATGTCACATTCCTCACTTCAAGGACTGAAGAGGATTACTGTGCTCCTGATATACACAACTCTTGTGCAATATTGTGCACATGAAGAATGAATGTCATAACTGGATTTTTCAGCCCAGGAGCTTTTTGCCGTCTGTTGCCCTCCAATTGTGTGGTGCTACAACACACGACTACAGACCTTTGGCAGAATTAGAATCCAACCACTTCCTTGCGAGTACTTCATATACATGGTAAAACAAAAAAATAGGCAGCTGGGGATTATCAAGAGTAATGAACATTAATTTTCATTAATGTTGGTTAGCTGTTAATCCACTGTATTGTACAAAATATTTAGAAATGGAGCAGTCCTTAAGCCAAGGTGATAAATAAATAAATGCAATCAAAATAATTTTGTAACAAAATATAAATTACATTCAGGAAGTTCCGCTCATTAGTAGAAGGCAAGATTATTACATTCTTTGACCTGCTTCCTTTCTTAAAGAATTCTGTATCAGAAAAGCCAACAATCAGCATGTTTAAATCGTATACAAGCTAAGGGTCTCTAATTCTCCAATGTTCAGCATCAACCTATTTCCTGACAGTGCCTTTAAAAAAAATAAACAATGATAAACTTAACACAATGGTATATCAGTCTAAAGCAGTGGTTCTCAACCTTTTTAATGCCGCGACCCCCCAACCGGTCGTAAGTCGACGACTACTCAACCGGTCGTAAGTCGACGACTACTCAACTGGTGCAGCACCATTTGCAGAATGGGACTTTTGGTGGGCTCAGCAGGGCAGAGACAGCCTGGACAATTCCTATTGGCTTTTGAAAGCCAATAGAATTAGACTCTATTCAAGAGGAGTAGCACAGCTAAGGAAAAGGGGGGAAAAAATGGCGGACTGCGTTGTTTGGCGACCCCCGTGAAATGGTCGTTCGACCCCAAATGGGGTCCCGACCCACAGGTTGAGAACCGCTGGTCTAAAGAAATACCTTGGGGTCTGCTTCCCAACACTGGAGCATCAATTCTGCAAAGCTTCCAGGGCAGCTGCTTGGAATGGTCAGTCTCTGAAATAGAAGGAAGAAAGTAGTGAACATAAATGAAGAACCTATCATCAACCCATAGCTTTTCAAATTTTAGATTAAAATACGAAGATCTTCGGGGTGCAATAGAGCTAAAAATAGATCAGAGCTTGCCATAAAAACAGAACAGAGCAGAGGACGTCATACTAAAATGCCTATGCCTGGAAGGAGATGGTGACAGTAAACTAAACTATTATTTTCCCAAGAAGTTGAGAAGCAATAATGATGCTTCAGCAACCAGATGCGAAAGATCACTGCTGCTGAGACAAATGCTACACATGCTGAATGGTACACTTTGGGTTTTGTATGAAATGACATATGTACCTAGCCAAGTTTAACCGCACTGTTGATGCAAAGTATTTTTTCTAATTATGAGAAGGGGGATATAAATTGAATGAATAAATAAACAACAGCAGTTTCGGTCTTTGTAAGACTCAATTTTGAAATGTTGAAAACATGGATGCATTCCAAAAAACTTGGTCCTACGGCTACATTATGGGGAAAGAACTTTCCTAAAATTATTACCATTGTGGGAAAAATAATACTGTATAACTTTTTTGGAAGGAAAAGTTTTTAGAATTATATCCCTGTAATATCTACAAATCTTTTAAAATTACATTACATTTCATGAAGTATGTATAGGTATTTTTTTCCCCAAAGTTTTAAAGAATCTAAATTTCTGAATCCCTCCTTTCATTCACATTAAATCCATCTTTATTTTGTTGGGCACATTAAATACTTATATACACTTCTTCATTGGTTATTTTCTACACTGCTTTGAAAATGAATGAGATGATGTGCTTTCGACTATACAATACAAAGCCAGAGTGTGTCTCTGCTATTCAAAAAAAGCAGCCTACAGTTTTTCATGCCTCCACGCAAGCCTGAAAAAAGATGCAGATGCTTTGAGAGCACAATGAGTCAGCTCCTTAAAGTAGCAGCATCTTTTTTCTGGTTTCCACAGAAGACTGAAAACAGTAGCCTGCTTTAATGAAGACGAGTTAAGATGCCATGTTCACATAAGTTATAAAGAGCGTCTCTGAATCATTTTCAAAGAATGCATAGCCCTATAAGTTATTTAAAATACGTATTAAATAATGTTAAGAGGTCTTGTGATCTACATCGTTCTTAAAATAATCATTCACATTTAAATATGTATAGTAATTATCATGTGAAGTTAACCATAAAGCAGTCTAACATTATAATGATGAGTAAATGTAATAAAAATCCAGTTTATATTGGCCAACAGCGTATAAGGTTAGGAAAGACTGTGATGAAGAAAAGGCAAGTAGTAACCAAAAATGAATGGTAAATAACAAAATAACAGAATCTGTTTATTGGGGATAATAACTCCCAACTCCCTAACAGAATCCTATCCAGCCTGCTGCAAAAAAGTATTTACAAGTGACATATTTTATCATTCATACTTCAAAAATATTCAGACAAACTTTTAATATATTGAAGATGCTAGACATTCTATTAAAAATAAAAATTTAAATCTAAAATATTTAATAGCACTTATCTATTTACTCAATTTCTATTATAGTAAGGAGAGATGCAACTTGTTATTTAAAACTAAACCTTAACAAGAATATATTAGTGTGTTAATTACAGTTTTCTGATAACTAGAATGTCTGCATATAGTTTGTTATTATGCTATTGATAGCAAAAGAAATGCCACAATAAGAAAAATAATGATATCGCTGTTGCTGATAGAAAAAGATAACTGTTAGTATCCTCATCCTCATAGCAAGACATGAAAAATTACAGCAAATTCTGTGGATTAACAGAAGGATATAATTATAAAAAGTAGTTATATCTGAGTTTCTCACAACTCTGCTTAGTGTTTAAAACGACAGTTTTCAAAGAGGCATATAGAGTAAGTTAAATAAAATAGGTCACTGTATGAGTATACTAAGACTTCCAAAATCTTATAGCTATTATGCTCCAAACAGGTGTTATTTTACAAAAACAAAACCAAGAAGATATGTTAAGAAAATGGAAAACAGGAAAGAAGCAATGTACACAATAGTTGTGTAACCCGATTAGAAATCCTTAAATCACGAGTATTATAAATGCAAAACAATATCGAGATCAGAAGTCAATTCAAGAAATCTTTTGGCATAAACAAAGTAGCATTGACACTTGATATTCAAGTAGGTCATTTCCCTAAAAATACATCTGACAATCTAGCCATGGCATTTGTCTCTCACCCTCACAGTTCCAGGGATAGAAAATGATTGCTTACATATATCTCGCTGGAACAGAAGGTTATTCATCGGGTAGACCCTCAAAGCAGTTATATTCTAATAAAAGTGACACGTCTTAATAATATATTAATTTCATTTGATATTAAAATCTCCTTTAACAGAATTTACACCTCTAATAAAGAGCATGCAGATTATCAAGGAAACAATAATAAAAGATATGGGCATGGTATAGGAGATGTAATTCTCTGCTCAGGTATAACTCTTACTGAGTACTATATATACCATGTGACTTATATATGAGTGGCACCTGCAGACTTAAAGAGTCTCTCACTGACCACTCATTTAAAAGCTAGTATAATTTAAAAGGACACATACTGAACCAGAACTCTTTGTTCAAATCTCTGACTATGAACTTCATCTGGACTCTAAATAAGTCTTCAAGCTTCTCTGTAAGTGCTATGTATCTTTTATATTCTTCTGCACTTTTTTGGAATAAGGGTGGACTTCCATTGTCTTTAAGTGTCTTATGGGTTACATTTGCTCTAACTCTCCAAAGAATAGAATTTTCCCAAGGACCAAATATGAGATTCATTGTTTTTCCTTACAGTGTAAACTCAGTGCAATAATTATAAGGTGGTGGAGTCAATATGTCATGTTATAAGTCATGTTTTAGGCCCATTAAAATCAGTGGGACTAGTTAATTATAGTGAATTTAGGTCCCATTGATTTCAATGGGACTAAAGCATGACTAACTTATTTTGAATTGAACAAATACTTTGCAGAGTGACAATTCACTGGGAGGCTAGTGCCTCAGATATTCAATCACTTTATTAGGGGTTATTTTAATGTCACAAAGAATATATACTGTAGATATTTCAGGGTTTTTTGCATCAGGAAGAACCTGAAATCAAGTTGTTGGGTTTTTTTAAAAAAAAGTATAACTTTTTGTTATGGTTATTATTTCTATATTTACTATATTATTCTATTGAACCTATGAGCACTTCAATTGTAGCCACTACTATTCTTCTTAATATCTTTGATTTTTTCAAAGTATTGATGAATATTTCCAGCCCACTACGGGTAAAGCTTTGATTCTCCTTAAAATCTATTTCATTGTTATGCAATCCAATAAAGTTAAAGAATTCTACATTTCATTCAGCTCAAAGGCAAAGAGAAACGTCTAGAATTGGTGAGATTACTAATGTGCTTCATTTGGATTGGATTATATCCGGTTTAAGGAAACTAATATGATGTTGCAGAACTGACCTAGTGTTTATACATTTGTTACATACCAAAATCTTGTATCCAACTATAAGATCAGAGCATTGATCTAGATCAGGGGTAGGCAACCTTGGCTCTTTTATGACTCGTGGACTTCAACTCCCAGAATTCCTGAGCTAGCATGAGTCATAAAAGAGCCAAGGTTGCCTACCCTTGATCTAGATGGAGAAGTTTCTTGTTAATGTTTGTCTATAGGATGGGATGAGGCTATTTTGATGAGATCAACTAAAACTTTCCTCATGCTTAAAAAATAAGAATGATACTTGCTACATCTTATTATTTCAAGATTAAATTTGTAAGAATCACAGATATAAATTTATAGCGAGTGGCAGAACATCCCAACTAAATTGGTTATTCCACATTGATTCACAGATATCACAGGCCTTCTATAGTTCAGAAAGAACGTTTAAAAGTGAGAATGTCATGTTTTACATTAATTCCTTCCTGTTTTTTTAAACATGATAATTAAATTTATTATATGTAAAGACGTTAACAATAATTTGCAGAGCCAGCAATAAAACAAAGAAACCAAGAAGTCATACTACAGAAATTGCCTAAATTGTTTCATAATTGTACCCAACCTTCCAGCCAACTTAGACAGAGGAGGAATCCCTAATCTTATCTGCATGCAATAAAGCCGCCCGCGCTACATTTCTTCTTTTAAAAACGACTCTTCCTATCTTTGATATTAAAGAGATCATGTGTTCAAATATGCACTCACATGTTCAACTACCTGAAAGCCTCAATTTGTAGCCAGAAGAAAAGCAACACTGGGGACACGTACAAAGGGTGTTTACGCCACTGAAGTCCTTTTGAAGTGGAAAGACACGGCATGAGGAGGCTTGCAACTATGGCATAGCCTTACCAGTTCCAGTGAGGAGCTCATCTTCAATGGACTGAGGAACGTGGGTGGCAAAACTGTAATTTTCTTCTTTTTAAACTATTTTTATCTTCTTTTATTTTTGAAATCCTCATCTAAGTGGCAGTTTCTTGTATTATAGTGACTCCTGCTGGGAGAGTTAAGTTGAAGTAGCTGAAGGTCTCTTACAGATAGATCAACTCCCGGCCAGTATAAAGATGTCCTAAATGCAGGAGATGGAGTTAAACTGTTCTCCTACTTTGGACGCAATGGCTTCTTTCATCCCTAAGAACAAACCCCCAGGTTTTACAATTGAGACTGAGAAGCTAGTACAGTACTTGTATAATTTTTGATCTACAGCATCACGACGTGAAGCTGCAACAATTAGATGTAAAGGGTCCATTCATGAGGAATAACATCACTTTGACCCTTTGTGTTAGCTCCTACTGCTAATCTTTCCATACGCGTGAACTTACTTTCAATTTGAGGAAGATGAAAAAGTCTTTTGCAAAACCCAACACTGTTTTCTGATCTATGTACCTGAATGTAGAAATGTAGTCTTACCTCATTTTTTTCCACTACAAGCCAAGCTACTTGTAATCCTTCCAAGCCTTTAAAGGGGACTTCCCTTGTTAGCATCTCCCAGAGAACCTGGAATGGAAAAAAGAAAAGAAAAAGGATTTTTTATTACTGTACTTTGTATTTTAAATATATTATTAAACCTTGATACACTGTGGTCTGTATCCAATTACCAGGCAGTCAAAGCCTATTGGCAAAAAAACTGGATATATGTTTGTCCTTAAGACAGTTACACTAAGTCAATGTTGAATATTTCTTATTAAAAATAAGAGAGGGTTCTTATTAAATAAAGGTACTTATTAAAAATACCTTTATTTAATAAGAACCCTCTCTCCCAATTACCGAGGGAGAGCTGGGGACTAGATTTTGTGAATATCCTGTTGTACCTCCACTGTTCAATAGTTGGGATAGTCAAGAAACAGACTTCTTGTTTTCAGCTAGAACAGTGGTTCTCAACCTTTTTAATGCCGCGACCCCCAACTGGTCGTAAGTCGAGGACTACTCAACCGGTCGTAATCCAGGACTACTCAACTGGTGCAGCACCGTTTGCAGAATGGGACTTTTGGCGGGCTCAGCAGAGCAGAGACAGCCTGGACAATTCCTCTTGGCTTTTGAAAGCCAATAAAATTAGACTCTATTCAAGAGAGTCTATTCTATTGGCTTTCAAAAGCCAATAGAATAAAAGGGAGTAGCACAGCTAAGGAAAAGGGGGAAAAAATGGCGGACTGCGTTGTTTGGCGACCCCCGTGAAATGGTCATTCGACCCCAAATGGGGTCCCGACCTACAGGTTGAGAACCACTGAGCTAGAAAAATGTTTCCGGAACCTATTCCTTCTTGTACTTTAAACCAGAGACTTTCTCTATCCATTTGGGATTGTTTTCTAGAGTTACTGTATATGCCGGCGTACAAGGCGACCCGGCGTATAAGACGACCCCCGTCTTTATCGTCGAGCCGCATTCCTAGAACGTCATCTTATACGCCAGAAACTACCAGTATTTCCGGCGTATAAGACGACTCGGCATATAAGACGACCCCCGTCTTTGGCGCCGATTTTAGCGCTCGCGGAAGTCGCCTTATATGCCGGCATATATGGTATGTCTAAAATTTAAAAAACAGATACTATAGCACAAGAGATTTGTAAGCAACGAAATAGATTCTATCTTTCACGTATTTCGATATTAATACCAACTTTATAGAAATATTTTATACTTAATTATATTTCATACTTAGCCAAATAACAGACATATAAATTTACTTTACAGTACAATATGACCTCAGCTGATTTTATTTGGATGATATTATACTAAAAAGATAATATAACTGGTTATGTCAAAGACAGCAATAATCTTTTTTTTCCAGGCAAGCAATTATATTTACAAAAGAAACTGGCTCTTTTCACCTCACAAAGCAGACATATTTCTGTCGATCTGAGTTGGAAAATACATTATTTAGCTAAAGTAAATATCGATATTTTCTATTTGCTATTGATATTGATTGATATCCTATTGATATTTTCTAACAAGTTAATGGCCTGGCTAAGAATTCCAGAGATCAATATTCTCCATTAAGTATTTAAAATTCTTAATTTATGGTTCACATTTGGATTTAGTTGGGCCACCTACCTCTCTCATTTCTATGAGAGAGAAAAATCCTTGATATTCAGCCAGGCTTTCAATCACAGGATTTACCACAGCATCTTAGGGGTTAAATAGACCTGATTAAGTTATAAAACTATAAAAGTTTATTACTGAAAAACCATTGTGCTGAGGACATAACAATGGAGACAGGGACTACTGTATCCTGTTTTAAAGAATTATGGGCAGTGAAAGGAAACAGAAACATTTTTCTCTGTTGTGATTATCTGGCCAGGCCTTCCTCTTCATCTAGCTTTATCCTTTTTCTTCTATCGCACACATACAAAAATATCCAGATTGACCAAGTAGCTATCATTTATTTGTTAGGTTTAAATGTATATCCTGTCTTGATTTTATATGGCTAACTCACAGCTGCCTATTTTGTTGTTATGGGACGGAGGGAGCAGTTTTACAATTACATAAATAATAATATGGGAATGCAATTGCGGTAGGATGATTACATCTTTTCTAAAAGGTCTCAGCTATGACAAATTGAATAAAGAAAACTACAGGTATGCACCTGCTTCAAACTCTGGCACAATAAAAAAAGTCATTTAAAAAATCTGTGATGATATACAAAGTGGTTGAAGCCAACAAGAGCCCAGAAATATGTAGAGTAAGTTACTCATTCACACACATACACACACACACAAACACGTATACATAAATACATACATGTGTACAGATAGATAGATGATAGACAGGCAGACAGACAGACAGATACTGTATGGTTCATAAAAATATGTTTCTCAAAATTTTTGGTCAGCATAGCTGGAGTTTCCCAAACCTTACTGTCACTCTCAATCACAGCTGCTAACTATAATTCATTCAGAAATATAGGCACTTTGCACAACTAAACAACAAACCTAACACTTGGGTTTAAAGGAAGATGTTTAAGACGTTTTCATCGTACCAAAGGTGACATATGTACATTATTACTCAGTGTCATGATACATTTTCAGTTGATTGTTATTTCCAAACTTGAAGTCTGCTATATTAAACATATGCTGTACACATTATATTTATTTATTTATTTAAATTTATTGGTCACCGCACAGATATATGCGCTGGTGGAAATTTTACTGGGGTTATATTTGAATTGTATAACTCTCATATCAGGTAAAAGACCACATTACCTTTCTCCTACTACAAAGTTCCATGTCTAGGACAATAAAACAATACGTTAGATGATATTAAACATTATTTGGCGGGCAACAGATATTTATAATTTGATAGATTATAAATCTTAAATCTGAATTCAGCTTTGGGTCATTTTCATATAACAGAAGATTCTGACTAAAAGCATGTTTACTTTTTAAAACACAATTTATTTCAGGAGATTGTGGCTTACTTCCAAATAAAGGAATACCGAACTTGAGACCGTCTATTCCAGCTTCATGAAATAATTTCTAAAGGTCAGAAAACTATAAATGGGTACAACAATCACCTTTCCTCATGTTCTTGTGACTTATTTGCAAAAGACAAATTCAGCTTGACCAAGAAAACCTGGACCTTTAGGTGGGCAGCATACTAAAGTGGAAAAATGCTTCACTGTACATTGTACGCAGTGTAATAGTTTAATGAATACATTCCATTCTGGCAGAGGAAATAATAAATAAAAGGAATGCTACAGATTCTGCCAATAGAATAGTATTTCTCAACATAGTAGTAGTTTACATTTGAAAAGGATTCTGCTTTTTGTTATCACAATTTCAGCTGTGTTTCAAATGATGAAAAGCAGATGTCTGTGCACCACAAAAGCCATTTGTTAGTACTCTAGATTGTGTTATTTGACCATTCAAAACTTTTATTCACGGATGAGATTGTTTTAAATCAAAAACTGCCACATTTTTCATGGATTCATTATCTCTGGAGCACATTGTTAGTCTGCTTGATTAGAAGTTGAAAGCCTACAGGGGAAAAAAAATCTTGATAGAAATCAACAGTGAGGAGAATCAATACTAATGCGCTTAAGTTTACTTGAACCAATTTCTAGAGTAGAATTTAAAATGTACAGAAGTAAAACCACGCCTGACAGGACTTTCTCCTCCTAAATTCCCTCTGGATCTACCCTCCCTTTCTAAAAATTGGGTTTTTGAAGGAACAGATTTTGAGATCGCACAAAAGCCTGGGAATTCACTCTTTTCTGCCCCATTGACAATAGATAGGGAACAACTTAATTAATTATTATTTATCTATAAACATTTAACTCTGAGCCAAACTGCAATTATTTCCGAATTTCATTCTCTCTCTAAATGTTTCAAGCTCTTTTCGCTATTTAAGATGCAGAACACTAAGCTGAGGGAAAAAAAAAGATTTTACAGGGTTTGAAACTGTCTGTATGTGCCTGAAAAATATAACTATTATTCAACTGCTTTACTTTAACCCAGGTATGTCCAACCTGCGGCATATGTGGTCCTGGACAGCTAGTAATGCCACCCCCAAGATAGTAAACTTTTAACATTATTTATATATAGATATACCGGTACATTAACCACATGTTTTACATGTGGCCCAACGCAATTCCTCTTCACTCAATGTAGTCCAGGCAAGTCTAAAGGTTGGACATACCTGCTTTAACCAGTGATCAATTTTTTTATTCAGAAGCCGATTCCTGAATTGCTTCCTTTGACTGAAGTTAACTTTTTCCCAAAAAAACTTGAGCTGGATTCAAGCTGCAATGTTAGATATGCTTGTCTGGCAGTCAGTCCCATTAAACTTCCTTTAGTTTTCTCCTGAATGGATGCTTACAAGGTTTGACTGTAAATAGGCAATGACTAGTTCTCCTTGAAATCAAAAAGATTCAAGTCATTCTTAGCTGCTTTAAACATCGATTTTTAATTAATTAATATAAGTTTCATGAGTAAGTGTAAAAATGTTTTTTTAAAAGAAACAAGTATGATTTCTGTGGCAGAGCTATGGATCTTGGAGGTAACAGATAATCAGATGTTCTCCAGAAGTTTGCTGGCTATAAGCTTGTTGGCATGGATATGGCAGTAGCTTTTTTTGTGCCCAAAATTTTACCACAAAATTAGAGAACAATGAAATCCAAAATACTGTGGGTGGATGGGAGATATAAAAGGCCCAATAAGTGCCTTAGAAATAGAACTTTGTTTTTGTGCTTTCACATGTGTACAGAACATGAACATGAATTATATCCAGTTGTCTAAAGACAGATTTATATAATGCATTCAGAAGCGTGGACAGAAATAGGTTTACTCACCACACCGTATGAATATGTATCACATGTTTCTGATACTGGGAGACTCTGGATTACTTCTGGAGCCATCCAAGGAAAAGTACCAACAAGCGACATGTGTGTTGTATGGGAATGAAACCTTGAAGCCCCAAAATCACAAATCTGGGGGGGGGGGGGAAATAGAGATTTTTTTTAAAACAACAACATGCCCAATTCAGCACAACAAATATTTTTATAAAAAGACTGAAATATTCTTACCTTCAATACTCCATCACCAGCTATAACCACTGAAATTTTTTTAAAAAGAGAAAATTATATTAATACTATGAGGAAACCATAGGCATTTCTTCAGAAAAAAATCACTCCTTATAGGCTTATATACAGTATATTAGCAAGACCATTTAAATTCTCTGGCTGATATTAATCTAAAACCAGATGACTTTATTATTGACTTGATTCTCTCTATGCAGGATCATGGAAGATAAATCACCAATAACGTCAAGTTAACAAGTTACAGCCATGGAGCTGAAAAATGTATTATTAACAATTACTGGGAAATAATTTAAAACTAAAGTTGTCACGCTTTATTATGCAACCGCATATATCTTTAAAATATGCAAAAAAATATCGCAGACAATTGTAAATTTTCCCAATCTTTTGAAACCAAAGGAATAATATAAAAAAAAACCCAAAGGAAGTTCCCTTATCAGTGAGAATGGAGGCATATAAATGTAATAAATAAATAGGAAAATACATAGTTTAGGAAAAACTGAAATTTATGCAATAGTTATTTTTAGCACATTTAGTCAGTATAAAGATGATATGATATGATATATGATATACATGATATGATGATATATGATATATTATTTCTTAATTTCTCAATAGAAGTATATTTGAAGTATACTAACAAAAATATTATTTCTCCAGGCAATACTTTTTAATTTGATTAAAGTTTGCTTTAAAACACATTAAACGTTTCCTGAAAATGAAACTAAAAAGTGCTAAATGACTAAGGTACAGTGCATCTCTTCATTTTTTTTTTTTTTTCCTAACTAGAGCAGGGGTAGGCAACCTCGGCTCTTTTTTAACTCATGGACTTCAATTCCCAGAATTCCTGAGTCAGCAGGTCAAACATGACCCTGAAAAAAGAAGGAACATTCCAAATTGTATTCTAGACTCTGCCCACCGCCATATCAAACAGATATTGAAACTCTTTTACTACTCAAGTTATTTTTTGATTCTGTACACTTCCAAATTTGGGCCAATTTCTTTCGCTGTTAACCATTTTAGGTGCCATTTAAAAAAGTAACACTATTAGAAAATATTTCAAAATTCTTTTTTATTTTTCTAATAGGAAAAGGGAAATAAAGAAAGGTATCATTTTTATTTGAGCTTTCTAATCTCACCTCTAATCGCAAGGTTACAAAAGGAATAGCTGAACTTAATCAGAAGTAATCAAGCAATTGGAATATCATCCTCATGTAAAACCTCAAACGAGTAGATTTTAAAAATAAATAAATGAGAATGCCGAAAGAAAAATATTGGATTCAACTCTCAATTAGCAATATTCATCGCTTACTAATTTGATACAGCGGCTACTGTGATATCATATACCCTGTCCTTGATATTGTGGGCAGGAGATGTTCTTTAAAATCCTGTGCAGCACTTTTATATTTCCGTATATCCATATCCATATATCAAAGTGGCTCGTGCATTGAATTCTGCTCTTTTTAGTATCAACCCTAAAATGTTATATTTGCAGGAAAAATAAACAAAATTATAAAATGTATGCTGAATTACCATTCCGGGACTTCAGATCTCTATGGATTACTTTGATTGGAGCTTCCATATGCAAATAATGCATTCCTAAAAGTAAAAATGAAAAAAAAAGTTTTTAAAATTATTTTGCTACATCAGAACCAGCAGTAGCTTGTTCCCAAAACAAGTAAGATGGTGAAGGTGAAGGTTCGTTCTCCTAGCTCAGGGGTAGGCAACCTTGGCTCTTTTATGACTCGTGGACTTCAACTCCCATAGCTGGCTCAGGAATTCTGGGAGTTAAAGTCCACGAGTCATAAAAGAGCCAAAGTTGCCTACCCCTATACCTAGCTTGTGGGTTGGTTTTCAAACATTTTGTTACCAGGGCAGGTAACATCTTCAGCAGAGTTTAGGAGATGTCACTGTTCTTCTGTTAATAAAGGCTTCAGGTGTGGTCAGTTTGTATTCACTGAACTGAACTGAAGAAGCTTCTTGGATGAGAAGCGAAACCTCTTCAAGCAAAACAAGAAAGTCCACTTGCCTTTTGAAAGAAAGCACCTTTAGAAAGCTCGTGCTAACTATTTAGTAAGTCAAATAGGTTTCTGAAGATTTCATAGGACAGATAATTAAGGCACTATCTTTAGGCACTCTGAGTAATTTAGATTAATGATTAAGAATAGATCTTGACTGAATAGGAAATGGAACTAGAACGGAGTTCTAATCTTTTACGAATTATTGACCTTATTGACCTCACTTACCTTTAGCTATATCCATTGCCCAAGTCATTATATGTTCCATATCCATTTCTTCACTTCTGTTGCTATTAATATAGTCATACAATGACCCAGCAGAAGCATATTCTGTTACAAAAGAGCAAAAATATGCTTAAATTGGCACATTTAATAACACCTGGAGGCACAATAATTAGCCATCTTTGATTTAAAAAATTAGCAAATTTGATATTACCTACCATGTTGCAATAGCAAATAGTCTGAACAATGCATCATCCAAATACATTAACTTTAAAGAGGTACACTATGGTTTATGAATAAAAGTTTGTGAGAATTGTTTTGTGTTTTTGTGTCAATATTGTCTCTTGGTGTATCAATTTCATTGGTCACTGACAACTTCTAGGTTGTTGATTTTTTTCTTTCCAGTTTAGCCTTAGAGAAAGTGACAGACTCAAAGTCACCCAGCTGGCTTTAGTGCCTAAGGTGGGTCTATCCACTCCCAATCCAACACCTTAACCATTATAACTTGCTGGTTCTCAAATATTAGGCAAATTGTTTTAATTTGGGAATAAAACATAGATACAAAATATTAATAAGATTTTTTACTCTGATGGGATTGATATAAAGAGTTTTAAAATAATACATTTAAATAAACACATAAATGAAATAACATTTAAATATATATTGAATAAACACATTGATACATATGCCTCATTAAACAGCAAAAGAACTAGCCAGCAAAAATTAAAAGACTGCATAATCTCTCCCTAACATTATGAAATGGATGTAAAGATGACTACACATATTTCTCATGGGTTAAAGAATCAGTCTTGACATTCTGGGGTCAGATTGTGTGTACCATGAAAATAATACTAACCTCATTAAATGTAAAGAAATTCATAAATAAATTTGATGAAACTAATCTAAATCATAATTATGCAGCCTATAGTTTTGCCCTGCATGTTATTAAAAGATGGGTGTCATGAATTCATACACATAAACACTATTCTTGATACTTCTGGGAACAACAACCAGAAATTACATCACCCTCATCATCCTCATTTACATGCATGTACCAGTTTGGTCTACTGGTTAAAGCACCCGGCTAGAAAAGGGGAGACTGTGAGTTCAAGCCCTGCCTTAGCCATGAAAGCCAGCTGGGTGACTCACAAGGTTGTAGTTGTGGGGAAAATAGGAGGAAGAAGGAGTATTAGGCATGTTTGCTGCCTTGAGTTATACAAATAAATAAAATAATAAAAATGACATGTTTTTTTTCCATGTGGAGACATAAACTTAAAAGTGTAGCATAGCTTTTAGTAGAACAACATGATATTAGCAAAAATATCTTGCATTAGCCTATATATTAATTAAATCTAATACAACCAAAATGTATTCAAGTGAACAAACACGACAAAAAAAATTTCAGAAGCATATCCCTGAGCATTAGCCCATATTAACTACTGTTAATTTCATTTCATTTTATGAAAGTGTAATTTCATTTACATTTTATCCAAAACCCACCCATTTGGTGTTTGTGTGTGTGTGTGGGGGGGGGGAAATCCTATGCTAGAAGAAATTTGCATCTGCTTTAAATTTACTAAATTTAGCAAATCCTTCAAGTTATCAAATAAGAGGGAGGCCTTGAAAATACTATGCTTCTTCAAGATAGACAGACAGCCTTCAGGTAAATCTTGACTCTTGGCAACTGCCTTAGCAAAATTTTCGAAGTGGTTTACCGTAACCTTTTTCGTAGGTCTGAGAGAGGGGGACTGGCAAGGTCCCCAAGCTAACGTCACGCCTAAGACCTCCCATTCTCCTGGTTTCTAGTATCCTGGTGCCTTAGCCACTACACCAAACTGGCTCTTAAGCTACATACCGTAGCTCACTTGGAAATACAAGCATTCAGAATACAAAAAAAATTTAAAAATGTGAAATATATTCATATTAATAGCTCAACACAGAGAGACACTTGATCTGAAACAGAATCTTATATAGAATATACAGTATATGTTGCGTTGTTGTGACCAAATAATACCTATCATTGTACTTTCTAATCAGAGAAGACTAGTAGAATCAGGAATGGGAGGATGCATGCCAGAAGAAGAAAAAGAAGACTTAAATATTTTTGCCTCCACCAGCATTACTGTTTAAGCAAAAAAAAGAATCTCTAGCTGCTTCATAAAGGCTAAAGAATATGGAGGGGGGGAAAAGCTCAGTTTTTTAGTGGGTCCCACAGTGGGAAAGGTTATAGATCTTGCTAGGCTCAGGTCAATTTGTAAGTCTAGTCTATTGATAGAAGAAGTGAGATTGCAGTATGTTTTCAGTTCATGAAAATAGCTCATTTGGCCATATCTCTAATAGGCTTAGATTTTTGTAATATTGGCTCAAAATTTGTATTGAGGCATATCCCCCCTCCCCCGGAAAAGGGGTGGTGGTATAGCAGATCTGTTCTGGCTCGGTAAGTATGCTTCACAGCCAATTGAAAAGTAAGCTGTAGGATTTGCCCCCAAGTTGTCTTTCTGTCAGTAGAATATAATGGCAAAATTGCTGTTTCTTATATCACTCTTATTTTCTCCACATTGACAGCAGACTACATAAGAATAATCTACATATTGTTCTCTGTCCATTGGCACCATTTAATTAAAGCAAATACCATCCCTGCAATGTGCCAATTTTGGTTTCACAGAAAACACTCCAAACCCTACAATTAAATAATATTTGCAGGAGTAAAGGAATTTGTTTTTTTCCAAATTACATTAACATATAGTTCAATACGAAAAGAAAGGAAGGTTATTTTTTTTTAAAAAAAAAAAAACCACAAGTATATAGCCAACTACTGAAAAAATTCAGTGTTTCAGAAACATCCCCCACACACCACCAAAGGAGGAGGATCTGTAGCTTACCTGTAACTATGCCATAGTTTGGGGGTTCAATAACGGCGCCATAAAACTGAATGATGTTTTTGTGGCTCAATACGCTGAGTATTTCTGCCTGTTCAAAATGCAACAAAAGCACCAGATGTGAATACAAAACATTCATAATTCTATAATTAACACAAAACCCTCTTTGAATCATTATTTGTATCAATAGTTGTGCTCAAGGTAGCTAGCAAGAACAGCAATTCAAAAATCACCATTAAACCTACAGATTATACAGGCTAACATTTGTCTAATTAAAGCAATTAAAGCATCTTTAAAAACAAATATATATAAAAAAGAGCTAATGGCTTAAAAACAAATGTTAAGAAAGTGAAACAAATAACATCAAACAATTCATCAAGACTCACCTTGACAGACAAACCGGTTTAGAGCTTCCTTATCAAAACCCTGCTAAAATAAACATGTTTATATTTGCTGACACAATGATAACTATTATTATTATTAGGAAAGTACACAACTTGCTCCTTTGCACATTGGAAAAGCAGCTACTAAAAAGTTGTTTCCAGTAATGGTGGGTTCAAAAGAAGAGCAATTCCTGAAGATCTCAAAGTTTGGGAAGATTTGTATGTGAGAAAGAGATTTTTTTTATATAGCCTAGTTTGAAATCCTATACAAGTTTAATGAGACACATTACATTAGGTTGTTCAAAATGGAGGACATATGCTCTCTGAAACTTTTCCTGTGTCATCCTACGTTACCTGAAGTTTCTGAACATACTTCAAACACTGGCGAAGTATATGATATTAATCAAAAGTTGGAATGGAGACCTGGGTGATGTACTAATAAATGTCCTGAACTAGATTCACATCTATCCTTAACTACAGAAACTGGTTCCTCTTAAGGCATCACCATATATGGTAAAGGTAAAGATTTCCCCTGTCCATTCATGTCCAACTCTAGAGCAAGGTGCTCATCTCTGTTTCTTGGCCAAGGGAGCCAGCATTGTCCAAAGACATTTTCCGTGGTCATCTGGCCGGCATGGCTATACGCCAAAGGTGCATGGAATGCTGTTATCTTCCCACCAAAGTAATATCTATTAATCTACTTGTATCTGCATTCTTTTGAACTGCTAGGTGGGCAAGAACTGAGGCAGGAACGGGAGCTCACCCTGTTGTGCAGTGTTCGGGCCTCAAACTCAGGCTGTCAGCTTTCCAGCTGACAAGCTCAGTGTCTTTAACCGCTGAGCAGCAATCTAATAATAGCAGAAGGAGGTTCCAATATAAGCCACAGATTTCCTAGATGAATGCTAGGATATAAACCTAAAAATAATTAGATAATAAATAATGATGATATATGATTAGATATGATATTTCCAAATGTGCTCCTGCCCACCACTAAAATGTTGACAAAGACAGCCAGTTGAGGGAAGTGGAGGCTTGCTCACAAAACAGCTTTAATCCTGAAGTATATTCAGGCAAAGAAATCACATAGATACTGTAAATACAATGATAAATGCAATGCTTCTAGCTCAGTGGTGGCGAACCTATGGCATGGGTGCCAGAGGCGGCACTCAGAGCCCTCTCTGTGGGCACACGCGCCGTCGCCCCAGTCCTAGGCCTTCAGCTGGGTTTTATAAAACCTTTTCGCTTTAGGCCTCCGCCGTCATGTGCAAAAAAAAAAAGGTTCAATCAGTCAATTTCAACTTCTTGCGGGAAAAAAAAAGATCTTGCAAAGTTGGAATTGATTGATTGAACTTTTTAGTCCCACCCAGTCTGCTGTTACCACCGCAGCCATGCCCACCCAATTGGCCATGCCCACCCAATTGGCCATGCCCATCCAATTGGTCACACCCAGCCAATGGGCCACACCCACCCGGCACTCGACAATGCATAAGTGGGTTTTGAGTTGCAGTTTGGGTACTCAGTCTCTAAAAGGTTCACCATCACTGTTCTAGCTTATGATAATACTTTTTTAAAAAGGTCACAACCACTGAAAATGAAGCTACAGCACATTGCAAGTTCACATGTCCATACTATGAAGACAATTAAGATACAAGGTAGAAGCTTCTGCTTGTTAGTGATTGTCTTCAATCTTTCAAAGGTATCTTTGAGAAAGGATAGGAATGTCACAAAGCAGTGGCTTTCTAATTTAGCAATTCTAGAACAATTGCACTCCAAATTTAGAAAATGTTAACATTAGAACTATCAGAGGCATAGGCTCTATTTATTAATTAAGCATCAGAGGTGAGTTTGGCCCCAACCCTGTTGGTCTTCTGGAAGACCCTCAAAATTTGATTTTCTCATGGTATCTGGAGATCCCAAGGAAGTGTGGAGCCCATTAAGTGACTGGTATAAGTTTGATTGCATTCTTCTGTCTTTTGTAATTATGGTTGAAGGAACAAAGGGAAAGAATGGATTCCTCATTCATCCCAGAACAGTTAAGACGATTAACTGAAAGACCTGGAATTGTAGCCAAATGAAAAAATAAGTCTTATCACAGTTTTGGGTTCCTAAGACTTCTCCGTTTTTCTTCCAATGGATGTTCTCACATGTCTTTTTAAACAGGAAACAACAACAACAACAACCAGAAAGTTCATTCACAGAACAGGCGGTCACTCTAACCATTTCCTATCTCCCATAAATATATGAACAGATAACTCTCTTACCCTTATGTTAATCATAAATATAACTTCCATCATTGGCTACAATCAAACAAGGATAGGACAGGCTATTTACATTTAACTGCTTTGCTGCCTCATGTTTTGCTATAGCTTTCTGGTTCTCTAAGTCATAGAAATGTTTATCTTTTGTTGCTCATTATCACTGTCAATAAAGCTAGAGAAATCCATGGCAGACGAATGGCTTTAACGTGAAGTAAAGCCTGAGGACAGGAGGAAAAAAGGAAGAGTGAGATGATTAAGGAGAGATTTACAGGAAATGGCTAATCCTAGAATGCTTTGGAGAAAACTTTGTTAAATATTTATCTATGCCTGTACTGTGCCTGTAGCAAGTAACTAATTTTCGAGTAGGTTCCAAAAAACAAAATTGAATGAGTCAGGAACTGAGTATATTGGAATGTCTAGTTTTTATTTATGTCTTTATTTTTAAGAAATGTATTCGTTGAGAAAAACATTTGTCACTGCTTCAGAATCTTATCTTGATGTAAATCCTTTTTTTTCTATCAAACCCAGCAGGTTATGAATGTCATAAATCCATCCAAAGGCAAAAAAACAACAACCAAAAAAGAACCCAGTTTGTTCTAACCACATTTCAAGAACATCCCAAGAAAAAAAATACCGTATATTCTGGCGTATAAGACGACTGGGCATATAAGACGACCCCCAACCTTTGAGAAGATTTTCAGGGTTTAGAAAGTCGTCTTATACGTCGGAAAATACGGTAATTTAAATCCCAAATCCATAGCTGAATAAAAATTTCATTGGGACCAACCACCAAATAAAAGCTTCACTGGTTGGCCCCAATAAAGATAAGACCAGTTATGGATTTTTCTTAAAGATCAACATGTTAACAATTTATTTTTAAAGTTTGCTTATCTATCTGTTACAACACAGGTAGGCTGCATTTTCTTCAGGTTGAGATTAATTCTCAAGATCACATCTAGAAAATAAATTCCATTTGCTACTAGAGCAACTAATTCACACCATATTTAAGAAATTTCCCAGCATGAGGTACTCTTTCATGAGATAAAATTACAGGGTTAGATGTGCTTAACTACTGTAGCATTCTGAGTTGCAGAACATCACTAAATGATTACTAATATTTATCACTATTTCATGAGAGTTCATTGGTGTTATTATGGCAAGAATATTTACCATGTCTTGTTATAAGACTAATAAAAGCCACATTAATCATGTGCTCCATTACCAAAGTAATAACTCCACCTCCCACAAGAGGAGCTGTGTAGGAACATTACTCAGACAAGCACAAATGCACTATAGCAACCCAGAACGTTAAAAAAGGAAACAGATTGCCTATACAACTTCTTCTAACAAAATGGATACCCTCTCATCTTTATCAAAAAGTGGCTGCCCATTCAACGCACTACAGCACAGCCAACACAAACTATGAAAACGATAATACTACCAGGCATCAGAAACCTCACAGAAACAACCAACAGACTATTACAAACACATGATATCATTATAGCATGCAAACCAACTAAAATCCTTCAAAGTAAACCAAAAACAGTAGTCATCTAAACATACAATGTAAGGACTGCAACAGCTGCTGTGTAGCATCATCAAGCAGAAACTAGCAGAGCACATCCATGAATACAGCAAGAAGGCACAATAAAAGCACCTTAAACTTACAGCACACAGACAGACTTAAACATAGTTTAAATTGGGCAACTGTGAACATCCTACACCAAGCTAAATCCAAAAACACTAGAGAATTCCTGGAAATCTGGCACTCAGACACATCAGCCATCAATAGACATGTAGAGATAAACCACACTTACACACCATTCAAAAGAGACAATAAAAAAATTAAGAAGGAAACAAAAAAAAACCCCACCCCAGAACCCATCTTCTTCAATAGCCTATATACCCAGAGAAGCAGGGATTAATAGCAGACAAACAATGAAGGAGAAAACAATATCCTGATCAAAGAACTACCAAGGAAACACATAATCAAGCTGACAAACAATCAAGCAGAAAACAATATCCTTCAAGGATTAGCAAGGAGAAAACCACACTTCACTAACACTAACAGGGCAAGCTATTGTATACAGTATAAACAGGGAGAAAACCCCACACCCACCAGCGCTGAAGATCTTACCTAATCGGGTAATGGAGCACCAGTAAGCAACCAAGCTCAGAGAGCACCAAGGACTCCTCAATATTACAGGAATAGCAATATTGTTTAGAAATGACTGCAGGCAGATGAAGATGAATCACCCAAGTGTTCTACAGTATTTTAAAGTTCTACTGAAGTAAAATTCTGGGAAAGTTGTAACACAACAGTTGTTCTCCTGCAATGTTTTTAAAAAGTGCTTCTTCCTTTAGTTTTTTATTGCATAATACAGATCAACCAGACATACGCTAACAAAGAAACATGTAAATTCCTATACACTAATTGTTAGCTTAAGTCC